GTTGAGCCTGCAGCATAATGACCTCAGAAGCTGTTCTGACCGCTGTTCCACTGGCGGCTGGTGACCATGTTTGGCAGCTTTTTTCTGGTTGAGACCTGCTTTAGTCTTTTTCTGACTGAGACAGTTTTCTGCACAATTACTTGCCCCATTAGAGGAGAGAAACACTTGGCTTGCCCCTGCCTGTTACTCTAGTTGAAGTGCTGATCATTCAACACAGGAGTAGTTGACTACTCCAGGGGCAGCAGTCTGAAGACCAACGTGGCAGTAAGCAAATAAAATGTACATATCTCAGTGCAGCACACCAGTAGTAGTGGGCAGCCAATCAAATCCAAACAGCATAAAAATCAGGTATCAGCTACATTCGGTACCAGAAATATTCATTGCTGTGTTATACACAGCGTCAGCACAGAACTGCTGGTGTTCAAGATCTCCGGTCAGAGTTTTCTAGTAAAAAGTACATGCTGTATTGCTGCTTAAATGTGGCTGTTCTCTTGTATCTTCAGAAGGAGGGCATTCAGGATATTGTATGATGGCAGGGGTCAGCAGCTTCCAAATAACCTTCTCTAACTTACTGTGCCACCAGAGAAACTGTTACCTCTCTGATGATACAGACTTATTGAAGCATCTTTCATATGGGAAAAGCCTGAGAGCACTGTATATGTCTTTGGAGATATTCAGAAAGGTGTCTGGACTGTTCAGTCTGGGGAAGAAAAGGCTCAGAGGGGTGAATAATATCAGTGTGTATAAATACTTCATGGGAGAGAATGATGATAAGGGATCCAGGCTCTTTTTAGTAGATCACAGTGACAGGACAAGAGGCAATGGCCATGAGTTAAAGCCCACAAAATTTCATCTGAACAGAAGAAAAAAACCTTTTACACAGTGAAGGTGGTCAAACATGACAAAAAGGTTGCCCAGAGAGGATGTGGAAGGTACATCTGTGGAGTTAACTCAAAACTCAACCAGACATACAGTCTACGACAGTCTGCTCTAGCTGACTGTGCTTGAGCGCAGGGGTTGGACTAGAAGATCTCAAGATCCCTTCCAACCTCAAAGATTCTGTGATTTCCTTGGGAAGCTGAGTTGGAACCCTACATGTCCTGGGAGGTAGAAAGAACTATTGTTGAAAAATATGAAAAAGCATATACTGAAAATGGAAAGGTTGAGGAGGAGAAATACAGGCCTCCACAAAACAAGGAGGATGGCAACATAAAATAAAGCAGGAAGGGAAAGAATTTCAAGCCAGGAAGAAAACTTGAAAGGCTAAGGAGTGGAGGGGTGGCTGTTGGCAAACCTGGTGATGCCTACAGCATTTGGACCTTTGTATAACATGGGAAACATGTATTGTGCTCTGCTTGTGCTAGAAAGTTTCACAGCAGTTTGATCTACTCGTGGGTTCAGGTCATGATGGCTGTCTTGTCTTCAACACATTTGGTGCTCATCTACAGCAGCTCCTAGTGTAGTTTCTTCTGAGAAGAACCTGATTTCTAGTGCCAAAACCACTTTGCAAATGTAAGCAGTGTTGATTAAGGGAGGATTATTGGGGAATTCGTTTAAAAACCGTACTGCTGATGTAAATTTGGGTGCCAATGGAGACAGTCATTGAGTACCAAGAGATCAACCTTTGTTCGAGGAACAGAAGATAACTGCTTCACAGTAATCAGGCAGGTATTTTCTGGGTAGATTGCTTTTCAGTGTAGAATCAAATATTTTGCCTTTTCCTCCCACACCAACAGATTTAAGATAGCAAATACTTAATTACAAAGGAAGGTCTGAGCTTTCTTTGATATATTACAACCCATAGCATGAGGGAATTATTCCAGCCTAACAGTGGTGGTGGTCTTCTTGACTGAGTCTAGATATGTGGCTTTTTTCATTCCTAAATAAAGTGGCAAGTAAAAGCTGCCCCATGAATGTCCTTTTCTCTGTATACCCAGCAAAAGTCCAGAAATCAGTTTTCTCTTTGATACAACCATGGGTTGGATGACGTAGGTATACTCTGACCATCAGTCATGGAAACTGTGAAAGAGGTAACAAAGCCTGCCTGCAAAGGGTCATATATTCACTAGAGCTACAGGAAATAGGTCAAGGGAATAGGTGTAAACGTTCCTTCTGCATGAGATTGCCTGGTTTGGCAAGGAGTCAGAAGCTGATCTTCTGAAATTCTGAAACACTGCACAGAACCTAAGCCCTGAATTGCCTCCTTGCCCTGTCTGATACTCCCTCGTCTTTCCTTTCAGAGGTGCTTTACTGGTTAATACTGTGTTTTGCTAATTGTAATTATCTCTCTTTTTTTCGTTCTTTACACATGATTAAGCTGATTGACATTGCTTTGTATGAGGAAGATGATGTTGAAGAAAATGTCTTAAAAACAAAGGAGCGAGGGTGCTCATAGATTTGTTCCCTGTTAGGTTTCACAGATGAAGCAGCAGAGCTCTGAAAGTAAAGCAGCTTTTCTCCAGTGAGAATAAAAGGGGAGGGCATTTGAGGACGCATTCTCAAAGGAGATGAATTCTCATTCTCTCTTTCAGAAACCCAGTCCCTCTTCCAGCTGACTGTCCTGACGATTCTTTCCCTGCCTGTCTGTCCTCACATAGCTCTACCTATGCAGGGACCTTACGGACTGTTCAGTGTCTGTCAAACTGCTGAATGTTGCACTTCTCAGGAATGCATCTTCAGTGGGCTTTGGCTCCACCAAGTTACTGTCTGTTCCCAAAGTGATCCTAGACAGTTCCTTGACTTTGTGGGAGCAGGTGTGGTGGTGGTTCTGAACCGATACTTTTCTCCTAGTGTTGTAAAAGAATGGGCTCTAGAAAATGCAGTGCTAGACACATCAGCTACCTGCTGAACTTGTAACTGTTTGGGGGATTTCTGTACTCACGTGTGGTGGTTGTAGTAGGCTGAAAACGCACAGTGTGGCAGGAGTTAACGTTACTGTGCAGACCGTGTTGGAAATATTACTCTGTGGAAAAATCCTTCCTGTAGCCAAGGCTAAGATCAATTCAATTGAACAGTCCAGGACTGCTTCCAGAAGTTTTGCGTGTTTTCCATGGGCAAACTCATTTCCTAACAGTGTTCTGCATGATAACCTTATCACAGACTCGGAGACTGGCTGAGGCTGGCAGGGACCCCTGGAGGTCACCTCCAAGCCCTGCCCAAGCAGGGCCACCCAGAGCAGGCTGCCCAGGGCCATCCATGCCCAGGTGGCTTTTGGAGATCCCACAGCCTCTCTGGGCAGCCGGTCACCTGCACAGCACAGAAGTGCTTCCTGATCTGCTCCTGTTTGTGCCCACTGCCTCTTGTCCTGGCACTGGGCACCACTGAAAAGAGCCTGGCTCCGTCCTCTGCACCCTCTCTGTCCCTTGTCACTCCAGTTGCGTGTTTTGTCCCCTGTGTGTAGACTTCTGCAAGACTACAGTCATCATCCACAAGTGGATTTTCGAAGACTGCTTGTGCTGTGGAGGGGAGATAGGGTAATGTGCAGTTCTGAACACTTGACAGAACTGATCTCAGCTTTGTTGCTGTAAGGGTCTGGCTGGGATGGGGTCACCTTCTGCATAGTGCCGTGAGTTTGTGACTGAAGTGTTGGTGACACCAGCGTTTTGGTTATGGCTGAGCAGGGCTTGTACAATGACAAGGCTGTCTTGTACGGCCCACAGTGCCCTGCCCCCCACCCCGGCGAGTAGGTTGGGGGTGGGCAGGAGATGGGGAGGGGACACAGCTGGTCTGAGGTGTCCAGAGGGAACTTGAGCATTACAATGTGCCATTGGCCTTAGGAGTAGAAGCTTAAAGAAAGGAGGAGGCAATCACTGCGTGCTGAGGCCCTGCATCCCGGGATGTGGCTGGACATCTGCCTGCCTCTGGGAAGTAGTGAATTGGTTCTTTTTGCTTTGCACTTGCAGCCTTTATTTTTCTATGAAAATGTCATTATCTTGACCTGCAAGTCTTCTCACCTTCCTTCTGATCCTGCACCAGCATCAGGCAAGGAGAGTGAGCGAGCAGCTGTGTGGGTGTTTGGCTGCTGGCTGGGGTCAGCCCAATGCCAGGAGCCTGTTCCCTGTCTTAAATCACTGCTCTTCATCACTTCTGTTGCAACTGCTGGTCTGTTGTTCCTGTCCCTTGGCCCTAGCACTGCTGATACACAGTGACAGCCCTGGCATTACTTAAAACATTTTGGCTACATTTCATATCTAACTTTGAATGTTAAGGTCACTAGTAACAGCTTTCGAAACATATTGTTACCACTTTTCTTAAGCTTTCTGTTTGCTTAGAAATATTATTACTTCTAATATTGCTTTTATTTATTTATTTTTTTTTTCCTGGAATACCCAATATTCTGTAGGTTGGTGAGGCTAGCTTTCTAATGGGATGGAGCTGCATTATGCTTTTACTAGGTTCTCTTTCTGATGCTTGGCATTATAATCTGACACTCGCTTGGAAATAACGCTGAAATAAGCCCTACCTTTTATGCGGGTGATTCAGACCAAGAAAAATCCACATTTCTTTTAGCTGTAAAGCTACATCTGTATTACTTACCATACCTGCTTCAGGCCAAGTGTTGTGGGGTGGTGATGTTTATCCTGGTGTTGGGTGAGTTTCCTGCAGAGGGCTGGCCACGTTCATGTCAAGTGAATTGTGCTTTGCCTTAAATATTCTTGGAGGCCTGTGTGGTACCTCTGTGGCTCTAAGCCTCAGTAGTTATTTTGTTTGTGTTGGATGTCTGAACTAAAAGCTATGATTCATTTTCCCGAGTTTTGGACTGTAGGGACATAAATGATAGTTTTCAAGTCAACATGATACATTATTTTGAGTTTTAAAAATATTGTAGTTGCTTTGTTACAGTGTTGCTCCTCATTATAGCTTTTGCAGACATCTGTGCTACACTACTGTTGTTTCAGATGAGGTTGCATCCTTAAGACTTAAAGCTAAATTACTTCCTGATTTTTTTTTTTTTTTTTTAAGTATTTTAACTCTTTCTTTATCATCTTTGCTTGTTTCAGGTATATGCAGAGCTTCCTTGAGCTTTTAGAATACGAAAATAAAAGTCCTGAGGATCCTCATGTTCTGGATGAGTGAGTAATCTATTTCTTTGTGACAATTTTTAATTTTTGTTAACCATAGAATAGTGGCGATCTCATTTGTAATGTAGAATTCATGTAGCTAAAGCCAAATTTGTAACCAGGAACTGAATACAGGAATCTAAGTGCTTTTAACCAGTGAATTCTAGATTTATGCAGTCTGATAGGCTAAGAAATAGCATGAAATGCTTCCTCCATGATGTTTGAGAGATGTTATTCACTGAGCTCAGTACTCTGTTGTATGTAATGTACTATTAACAGGTTGAATACCTTCAAACTGAGGGAAATTTGATGTATCAGTCATTCCTAATTATCTAAAAGGTTTTTAAAAGGACTTCAGGTATTGATATTCAACTACCTCATTGAATAATATTAGTTATGTTTTGAAAAGCAAGGCATATTTAATTTTCCGTATCAACAAAATAATATGAATGCCGTCAGAATGTTTTCTAAAAATCTTTTCATAAAACACACAGAAAATCATATGCAAGTGAAAAGATAGTGCAGCAGTATGCATGTGCCTCAGAGATTAAAGAAAAAATATGATTAATTCTGTAGATATCTCCTACTGTAAAGCTTTGTTTGAAAAGATTGTTTCTTGTAGATTTATTTTCTGCTGATCAATTATCTACAGGTAGCTTGTCTTTCAAACTTGGGCTTCTTTTGACTATTCTACCTGATCAGATAGTGTTGGAAGGAAGTGTTTCGTAAAACATCTTGCAGTCCAACAAACTGCCTGTGCTGTGCAAAACTGGTGTTTTGTCTTAACCCGGTTAGTTTAATGTAACTGAATAAACTGTTAGTTTCACATACGTTAACTGATTTGACCTCTGAAAAATGTTGAAGGGAGTCATTTGGACTGGCAAAAAAAAAACTTTGAAGTGCAAGGTGCTAGAAGTCTGAGTGTACAAAAAACAAGTCACTATAATAAGGGCTGATTGGTTACTCTAAATGAGGGATTGGAGTACTTGAAAGGGGCTGATACTTGCTAAAGTTGAGATCTGTACACAGGGCAAAGGGTACAGATTATAATATTAGTGAGAACAAACTGAAAAAGACCATTAGAGAAGGCTGTAGAGCCTTCTGAAAATATTACAAAGCTTCTAATATTAAAAGCTTTTAAGAACACGTTAGATATCTTTTTAGTGATGTTTTAGGCATGGTTATTCTGTACTGGATCAATTAGTTGAACCCTTTGACCATTTCTAACTGTTATGTCGGAGGATTCTGTATTTACGGTGTATTTGCTGATGGGACAAGAGTTTCTGTTTGTGACTATCTTAGCAGTAGGAGTTCCTACTGTTTGATTTAGAACATCTGGTAACTGAGTTCTACTCAAGAACTTCAGTTTCCCTTTGAGATGACAAAAGCTGTCCTGGACATCTGAGTGGGCCTGGCAAGTGTAACAGGTTCCGTTAAGCCTATAACATCGCGGATGTGCAGATGGATGCAATGTAGTTATGAAGCTGCTTGTTCCATTTTAGATGTTCTGCAGTTAGGTAACTGAATGTCAGTGTTCCTCAGATTTCAGAGGTTCAAGATAGTTTACCAAATAAATATTTATTTATGAAGTGTGTAAAAGGTTGGTCAACAGTTTTCTTGGAGATCTGTTTCTGGGGTTTGTTCACAATTACCAGGTGTATTATGTGATTGTCATAGTGGTAATGGGCATTTCTGACATTGATATGAAATGATGTGAAATATTCTGTGAGATATTCTGTATCAGTATGATATACCAAATATGATGAACCAAATATTTACTCCATCAGTGTAATTATTGTTACAGTAATCACAAGATGTCAGATTTTAGGATGTGTATTTAAATACATATAGTAAGGAACACCAGGAATTCTTTTGCAGCCTTCTGAGATAAAGTCCAACTATGCTTATTGTCCAAAAGTCAGGAAGAGTGTTCTTTTATACTGAGTTTGGCCTATGAAGAGATGCAAAACCTACATTACCCAATTGAAGACCAATTTATTCTTATTGATGATATTGGATAGGCTGCCTGAGATTAGGCAGATTTACTTTCCTACTCTTTTGCATGTCCTCTCTTCCTAACTTTCTGAAAGCCATGCTATCTGACTGGATATGGAGCTGTAATTAGCAATTATTTTAAAAATTTCATAATCCGATGGATAAATCTAACAATTTCTCAACTTCCCTACCAGTGTCCCATGTTGCTGCTCTATAGCTCTGTCCCCTTTTTATGTCTATATGGCAGGAGGAGAAACTGTTGGGAACTCTTTTCAGTAATGGTTCTATAACACTTTGCTTTTCTACCTATATAACAATGAATTCAGAATTTGACCCATTATCTGGGATCTTCTGGGGTCTTTGTTAGCTGGGGTGGACTTAAGGTTCTGGTGCTGCTTATCAAGGTAACAGCAGCACGAGAGAAGAGAAAGAGCTGAAGTGCTCTTTTAGATACATCTGATAACCATAGACGTGCCCTTAAAGATCTGATCACAGTTCCATACTTGTCCTTGAATACCATGCAGCAAATGAAATACTCTGGTGTCACCACCACCAGGATTGTGCAGAGGGGCAGATGTCCCATAGTCCAGGTAGGTCTCAGATTGCCAGCGCCAGTCGCTTGATGGCTTGACAGTTGTTGTGGGTCTGAACCTTCAGAATGCAGAGCTTTAACTTGCACATGATGAGTCCTTTCTGAAGTTTGGGTTAGATGTTTTTTATAGTAGTGCTATTTCTACAGCAGGCAAATTGTTTTGGTTTTTCATTTTTTTAGTTGAAAATTAAATACATGTGGCTCAGTCTTGAGAAATGAACTTGCTGCAGTTTGCAAATGTATCAGATATTTAAAATGACCCAGGGTTACTCATTATATAAGTTTTTGTCATTTCAGGGAGTGACCACTGAATCTTACAGGCTACTCTTGGATGAAACAGAGCAATGCTGTCTGCTTCAGTCAATAGTTGGCGAGAGGCAGTCTTGCAGAACAGGATTTACTTTCTTTCTAAATATTTCATGGCTTTTTGGTTTTCTGATACTCCTTAGAAAATGCGTGGATATCTCTCTTAACCCTTCTTTGCACAGCATTTGTCAGAGTCAAGCTGGGCTCAGTGTCTCCAGGATCATATGTCCTCAGGAGCAATTTCTAGCACAAGTAATTGCAGACTGATTCAGAGTTTGGACTTCTTGCAATAGTGAGGGTTTTTTTTTGTGGCAACCACCAGGCAGCGTGGCTTTTGAAGAGTGAGATGCATGATGTTGGAGGTGGTACTTCAAATAATGCTTTCTAAAATGGTGGAATGACGGCATTAGTTGAATGTAAAACTGCCCTCTGACTTTGTGTCACCTCTCTGCTCACCTGGGGAGCCTGCTTGGGTGTTCTCAGAGCGCAGGGCCCTTGAGAAATCCCTTTTTCATATCAACGTACAGGATTGTAGATGTTATCCATGTGTTGGCATAGCTGTCTGCTCAGCCATACAGTGAAATGAGTTGGGAAACTGATCTAGTGGAAAAATAGCCCTGTTTCAGCCCCATCAATCCCTAAACTGTTGTGCCCCGAGGCCCACAAGGAGAGCAGTGCCAAAGCAATACAGCAGGTGAACAGGTATGAGTAAGTGCAGACTAAACCAATGCTAACGCTTCCCAGAGTAGCCCAACTTGCCTGTGCCCTTAGCGTGTAAATTTGAGGACAGATGCATAGCCATGAATTTTTTTTGAACATGGGGAAAAATACGTCAAAGTGATTTTTCTGCCACATATTTCTGTGCTACAGAGGATTAGAAATGCTTCAGTTTCTTCATGTTCTATTGGTTAGTGGACTGGATGAAGACTTGCTACAATGTTGTCGGACCTTTTTGGAATTTTTCATAATAACAGTATCTTTGCTCAAGGTGCAGAGGGGTCTGGTAGGAAGTCATTCCTTAGTTCTGTCAAACAATGTGATTGCAGAAGTTTTAAGATAAGGTGTTCACATTTGGTAGAGTGTGTAAGCTGGCAGAAGTGTTTGGAACTTCGGTGGCAGTATGCATCCGGATGATCATGCAACGGCAGAAGTTGCTTTTCAAAAACAGAAGGTTTTGTAAAAAGGTGGCGTTTATCCGTACATTGGGGGAAAAAAAAGAAAAGAACAAACACTCCACATTCTGTACCCATGAGTTTCTTGGATTTTTTTCTTGCTCACCCTGTGGTGGGGATGTCAGAGAAAGTATTCTGGATTCAATAGTAACTGAAGTAATACACTGTGAATATGTCTGTAGATAATGCACAAATACGAAATTTAGTAATTAAAAAATAACTTTTTCCTTGTGCAGCACAAAGATTGGAATAGCAATTCTGTTAGCAATTTGAAATAACTATCGGAGTAGATTGGAATAAGCACATGGTGTTTTGTTACTTCAAAATAATATGAAATGCTACTTCACTTAGTGTTTTTACTGTGAAAATAGTTACGTTCTACAAGGGGAATTTTTCAGAGCGTGAACTTGGTTTGTCTTTCTGGTGGTTTTCAACTACCAGATAGCTAGCACTTTTTTCTAAAAGAGCAGTCTGTCAGACAAAGAATATTGTGTGTGTGAGTATGTATATATACACATATGTCCTATTTAAAAGGATTTTTGATGGTCTACACGCATCAGCTTTTCTTCAACCTTTCAGGTAATGCTATCCATAAAATGGACATAGCAAAAATTCCCTTTTGTCTTTATACTGAGTTTTTAAAATGACTTTTCTTGCGCTGTCCTGATAAATCAAAACAGAATAATGCCTATTACTGCCGTTAGGGACTTAAAAAAATAACTTGTGTGTTGACATTCATTAATTACCTTCACAGGAATGCATAGGCTTAATTTATTTAATAGCTGTGGTAACAAACATTACTTTGTTAATACAGAAGCCACTGAAGTTATTTGACTGAAGTAGCTTTACATTAGTAATTGCTCAAACCAACAGCATTATTCATTGTAGTTGTTCAAATGCAAAACAGAATTTTTCTGAAGATTTATTGCTAAATAAAACTTTCAGAGCTATTCTGCAATCGATTTTTCTCAGTCAATCCCATGACCACTTAAGATTTTTTTTATGTGGTTTCCTATGGTTTGAGTATAGTAAAAGCTTCAAATGCCTTTCAGGTGTGTGCAGGATGGGGAGTGGGTAAGGAATGAGTGGAAGGAGATGTGGTTTCTGCGCCACTGCCTTGAAATTAGCATATATACTTTGATATGTTTGGTCACTTGAAAGCATCTACTTTATGGGAACACTTGAGTGAACTCAGTTATCTTTGAAGATAGGACAAGAGGCTGTCAGATCGTTGTAAGAGTGAAGAATTCCTTTACTGTGTGCATTCACACACCAAGCTTCAGCTATGATTTGCTGGTCTGTAATAGGTAAACAGCCTAGACCTTTGTTTGCCCTTCCAGCACGCTCGGTGCATTTGAGCACTTTAGTAGCAGGATATCTGCGAACAGTGTGCCCTCGTGGAGCACATAAGCATCATGTTGTATATATTGTGGGTAGTGGAGCTACTTAAAAATGAAAAGCACAGCTGTCTGCAAATAGCAGCTAGTAGAGAGTGCTGTCAGTTGTTATCTTTCAGATATGATTGGAAGTGTTGCTTCTCAGCTCTGTTTTAAGCCAGTCTTGTTGCTCTGAAACAGAGAGAAAGCATGAATAAAACAGCTAGGCAGTAGTCTTGTCTGGAAAGCTAATACCAGATCTCAGAGGGTTACAAATCATACAGAATCAAGACTTAAATGATCTGTAAATTCTTTATTAAAATATCTGAAGCAGTCAGCAAGATTGGAAAGCAATAGGGAACAAGTTGGTCTGTACTGTGAAAATTTTCGGGGAGATTCAGGCAGTTAAAACTTCCCCTTTTATATGCAGCAAAACAGTGTTGAAAGGCAACTGAATTGTTTGTTAATATATGGTCAAAAATTGGTGATCAGAACAAGGATGATGAAAGAGTATTAAATATTAATCCTACATTCCTTTGGAGCTGGCAAGGTACAGTAGGAGAAATAATTTTAAAAGCTTATCACTAGCTAAGCGTATGTTTTACCATCAAATGATTGTCTTGGCTAACTGGGTATGAACAGGAAGGAAGCTTGTGCTTTAAATGTGGTGACTAACTGGTAGTCTTCTACTTTTTGTGATCTTAGTCTTCTTTGCTTCCTTAGCTGGTGTATATTTCGCTTTCGGTGCAAATAATGCATCTCTTTTCAGTATAAATCTGACGTATTTTTTTAAAGTCAATTACATAGCCAAGTCTGTAGATTTGCAGATGCAGGCATAGCCCAACAAGACTCCCAGCTTTGTTTTCTTCTGAAAGCTGTGTTTCACTGTGTGTTTCCTAACAAGATCATGTAAACATTGTAGTGCTAACATCCATATCACATTACAAAATAGAGCAGAACTGAGTAGCACTGATTTTTTTCTGTGTTTAGGCTTTTAAAAGCTAATAATTATTAATATTTAAAGTATGCGCAATTTTGCACATGGAATAAACAGGATGAGCAGTTTTAAGATAAGTGTAGAGCTGCCTTGGCAGCAGAAACAAAAATCCCCCAAGCTGATTCAAGAGAAGTACTTGTTAAAAACAAAGGAAGTGGTATCCTAAAACTGCCCAACCTACCACAGAGACATCTGTCAGAGCACCGTTGTATGTGTTCTGCCATCCAGTGGTGTAAAAAGGAAACTGAACAGAAGGCACACAGATGATAATTACCTATCCCAGCACTCAAACTTCAGAATAGATGTCAGGTAAAGAAATGCATTCAAAAATTACAGTGCACAGAGTGAATTTTGGGAAGAAATTATGAATTATAATACTTGTCAGGAAATTCTATGGGGGCAGTAAGGTGCTATTTTCTAAGTTGCCTCTCCAATCTGCCAGCTACTGTTAGTTACAGAGAATGAGAGTTACTGTGGTGCATATAAAAAGGGAATCTCTTGTTCTCAGTTAATAGCAAAGGGATTTAATCTAAAGGGATGTTTCAGGAAGGAATGATTCAAATTGAGACCGTAAATATTTCACAGACCCTTGTGACCTAATGTTTCTCTTTAAATAAGCTTGTTTAGGTATGACGACTTTATTTACTGGGTGGGATGGCAAATAGATAAAATGGTTATGGTGTGGAGAGTTGAAAACAGAAGTGAGAGATTGAGTTTAATTATACCTTTAACAATCTGTTTTTAATTTTGTTTCCTCTAGCTTTTTAGATGTTTTAATTAAAGTCAGGAACAGACACAATGATGTGGTTCCAACCATGGCTCAAGGGGTGATTGAATACAAGGAAAAATATGGCTTTGATCCATTTGTTAGCAGTAACATCCAGTATTTTCTAGATAGATTCTACACCAACCGCATCTCTTTCCGTATGCTTATTAACCAACACAGTAAGTAATTGCTTATTTCATCTTCAAGAGCTTGTTGCTTGTAAACCTGAAGAAGCTGTAGCTTTGTTTTAGTATTTTTAGTACTCATGACTAATTCTTAATATTCTGTGCTAATTATGGTAAAAACATACTGGCAACAGGTTAATATGGTACTTCACAGCTGTCAGAAATGAATCCAAACCACCAGTATGCTTTCTTCCAGAATTGTCAGGCTTTGTCAGCGTGGCTGTCACTTTTTAATCTTGTTGGCAGAGACAGCTTGCATAGTGTTACATGAAGTATTTTTAGACAGTGGAGTAGCCGGATTTTTCTGCTCAGAATTCTCTCAGCATAGCTTGTAGAGTTGGCATTTATTTCATAATCAAATGTGAGGATGCAAAAATACTGTGTGTCTTTTTGCTTAATTTTTCAGCAAGTTATCTAGACTTCCTTGCCTTTTTAACTAATACTAGTTGAGTACTTCTAACTAAAGGTTTAAATTATAATCCTTGTCTCCCTCTACTCCCTATTTTCTATTTAAGAATAAATCTTGAATTAGTCATCCTCTGCCTTTGAGTTCTATGTCATTGCTTTATGGTGTTACTAATAAACCTTTTCATATTCGTATTACAGAGTGAAAGGAGTTACTTGCACAGCTCCTAGTAACCGTTATGTGCAGCCATGCAGAAAGTGATCTATGTAAAGTTAAGATCAATCTTGATCTCTTAGTGTATCTTGTACCTTTTAGCACTAAAGCTTCATTGTCTGCCCAGTATTCTGCTTTTGTGGGCTATTAAAACATGGGTGCACTACAGATAATGGGGAGCAAAAGTGGAGTAATGCACTAAGGTATTTTACAAGTTGTGTGTCTTTCCAATAACCTTTTATGAGACTAGCAAATGCCATGCTGTCTGTGTACAAGTAGCTTTCATGTGCCAAAGCATGCAGTGAAATAAATACAGTTTATTCGTGTAACTGGGCAGACAAATGATGAATAAACAGTTTAAAGGCTCCCTTAGAGTTGTAAGAGTTACAACAATAATAAAAGCTTCATCGTAATAGAATTTCTAGGCCAAGTGTGAGCATCACATGCATTAGTTCTGAAGTATAAACTTACTTCATTGAACTGAAATGCACTGTCCTGTGGTTGAAACTTTTTAAAAAGCTTGTAGATGCTTACTTTAGAAATTCCCTGTGATAACCAATGTTAGTGATCTATCTGTGATGCTAAAAATTAATCTTGAAGCACTGAGAAAGACAATTGAAAAGTAGAGTTTGGAAACAGGTTATATAGCTTGCACTTTGTTTCATTATTGGCACAGTCTCCTGTGTGGTTCTGCAATGTGCAGTGTGCCAGTGTATTAGCTCATCATTACTGGAATAGATAAAGCTTTCGTATTTTGTCTTTTGCTTACCTCATACTGCTTCTGTTTCTTATCTGCTTAAGTGCTAAAGCAGCAGAAAATCACTTCTGAAAAAAAGTGTGAAATCTTTCTGCATCTTTGAGAGCTAAAATCTCAGTGAAGGGTCTGGTGAGTGCCAGACCCTGTGCAAAAGACAGAGTGGAGAGCATACAGCCGAGAGTTTTCCTAAACAAGGATTCTGGCAATTTGCAGGCATATCTTTTGTAAAAATGATGTGCTATTCAGTAAGATCAAGATATTACCAGATTTAAACTTTCTGTGCTGCCTCAAGTGAAACAGACAAGTCACTGCCATTTGTTTTTCCTTTTAGCACTTCTTTTTGGAGGAGACATTAATCCAGCTCACCCCAAACATATTGGAAGTATTGACCCTAATTGTAATGTGGCAGAGGTGGTTAAAGGTAAGGAGACCGGGTTCGTATTTTTGTTGATTAAAAAATTCACAATTTAGAATATACATAAATGTATTATTCAGATTCATAAGACTGAAGGTGATTTTTATTGATTCAATACACTTAAAACAGTAACCAAAAGAAAAAGAAACACCAAGAAATAGAAGCTCTGCAGTTGCTTACAATAAAGCCATGGCTTATTCAGAATTTCTAATGTCTTTGTAGTTAAGAATGTTGAAACTTCTGATCTGTTAGTAGAACTAGGGAGACAAATAACAGATTAAATGCCTAAATGTTTTATTAAAACATAGGTGCCTTTTTCCCTAAAAATATTTAGGAACAGGTTCTAAGGTACTACTGTTTTTCCTTAATACCAGTACTAAAGAAATTTGAGAATACATGTACGTGCCATTTTCTGACTCATTTAGTAAGGCGTTTAAGTAAAATGTCCTCAGCTATATATGGATATTCCAGTTATTAACCTTGTGTATCTTACCACATCACAGCCTATTCTCTCTTGTACAGAAGACGTGTATGTGATGGCTGTACCTGAATGATCTGTCATAGTCTCATGTGGTGTTTTGTTTGCTGGTTGTTATGCTTATAAGCTTTCTGAATGTTAGTAAATATGCATGAGGCAATGCTGTCCCCTTCAAGAACTGGCTTATTGAAGGTTCACACTTCTGGGTGTATTTACAAATACAGCTTTTGCTGTAGGAGTGGATTCTTCCTTCTCCCCTTCTTGCTATTTATGCAGTTACAAAAGAGGAAGAATGTGTTTTTTGCCTTCACTTTTTGTCAGCTTTCAGCTGAAAGGGAAAACTTTGTTAGAATTTGGCTTGCACAATAGCTTGCTTTGTAATGTAGATGCTTTTTACTGTTAGCAGGGCTTCTTGGCTTCTAGCTCCTTGGCTCCAAGGTGGCTTTTTTCAGCAACTCTATTATCTTTTGATTGATCTTACTACTCTTTGACCTTGACATTGTATGTTACAGGCTTATTTATTTAAATGTTCCTTCTAATAGCAATCTTCGGATCTATTTTGATCATGAAATTCATAGCTGCTGTCTGCTGTGAACAGAGGAGTGTGCAGCGTCAGAAAGTTCTCAGTCCAGTTTTCAAGCTAGTGGCTGAGATCATCATTTGTATCTGATGAAATATCCTTTAACAAAATGAGGACATCATAAACAGTATCCAGTGTTGTTTCAAAGAAACCAAATGTTCTTAAAGGCAGAGCCTGCCCATAGTCAGTGTAAGTGAGGCCATCTTCAAGGTGATGGAGTGGTTAATTTACATTCTGTATCCTGTGCTGGCTCCAACATGTTCTGATGCATAGGTGGTATTTGGAGCAATTTGTTAGAGTTAAGGTGTTGGCACCCTATGTGGCAGCTACAAACTCTGTAAGATCTTTGAACATGAAAGAAATGATTTAAACAACCACTTCTTACTTTAAGCAGCTTCACCAAATGTTGCGCCTCTAACTGCCTGAGGTAGGTCTCGGTATCTCACTGACTGTCCTACAGTAAGATTTGTTTGAGCTGAGAGCAATTCCCAGCTTTTTACTTGAGCTGGGTTTTCAGATGTACTGATAAATCCTTCAATCCTGTTGCTGCTTACCGCCAGCCATGACATGAGGTGTGCCTTGAACCTTTTGGCACAGTCTCTTTTAACTAAAAGTCCTAGGCTTCTGCCAAAGACAGAGAGGAAGGGTAAATTTGAGACTGCACTCTGACACTGTTTTTTCCCTCATGAGTGGCTACTTCACTGGATCGTGAAGTGATAGTGCCTTGCCCTTCATCACGAGGGTGGCTACTTTGTGAAAATGGGTGAGTCTTATATTTGTTCAGCTTAGGGAGGCTAGGTAGAATTTTTTCAGAATCTCTTAATTCTCTTAAGTTTTGTATAGTGGCTGTGTCTGCTCTACATCTGTATATTGAGGTCTCTTTCATTTATTACCACCCTATTATTGGTATACTTTTCAGAGGCCTTGGTGTTTTTCTCTACAACAAGGAATCTGACTTCTACGACTTTGATCCACATCTGATATCCACTTATGATGTGGAAAGTCTTTGAAACATGCTAATATATCTTTTCTCCACGTAGACAACCATACGGTCATAACAGCTGCATGCCTGTCTTCAACTTTTGATGACTGAGTTAAGACTGTGGCAGTGCTCCTCATGCCCCTTTTAGCTAAAGCACAACAGGATTATTCCCAGGGCCATCAGAAGTTCTGACATATTACAATTTTGTGTAGGTGTAGATATTCCTGCATTTTTTTCCTAAGTTATGCACATCCCAGGCTGAGGTTTCCTGCAGAGCTTGGATATTAGATAGGATTTTAGTCTTTTTTACTAGGGCATGTTTATTGTGCCAATGACAGGGCTCCTTTAGAGAAGGTCTTTGAAGTTGACTATCTTGATACAGATGATTCCTGTTGGACAAATGACTTTGAAACGTTCTGGGGACTTGGTCAAGAACATTCCCAGCATTGATTAGCTCCATTTTACTAAAGCTCAAGCAGCATCTGTGTCACCTGTGTTTGATACGTCCAGCCTTGCAGATGTCAGAATAACTGGTATAAATTCTTTCCAGTTAACAGGGTACAAATATAGATTACATCTGTAGGCAGCACATCTTGAACTAGAACAATTAAAGGTAAACAATCAGTCCTTTCTGGGGACTAGTGATTTTGCTTTCATTGTGCTTGTTGCATTGCTGTGAGTCTTGGCGGTGACTTATTTTTTGTAGCATCACTTCAAGCAGGAGGAAGAAGGTAATTTCTAGGGCTGGATCAAATGCATCTGCTACAGTGTCTTAGCAAATTTCTCTTTGTCTACAGGACTGCACCGTCTGTTGATGTGCTTGTTCCTAGCCAACCCTAATTATGAGGGGAAAAAAATCATTTCTTTAAACTATTTTCATTAAGGTAACTTAAGCAGTGTAGTTGCATATAGTTGAGTTTGTAGTTCCTTCTTAGGCTAACATGTGTTGCTTATTTCTGAGGTGTTTTTGCAAAGGAGATACCAGTAAATATTTAGAAAAACTAAAAATTTTTCAAACAAAAGATAACTTCAACTTTCTTGCTGTATTTTGTCAGTACGTAAAGGTTGATATGGACTATGGGTAAGCTCTGTTGTGGTTCAGTAGGAGAGAACGAGTAATCTTAAAGACTTCAGATTCTCCCTGAGATGACATTGAAAAGTCAAGTGTTGTAAACTGTATCGTGGTTGAAAAAAATAAATTGTGGTTGCAATGTCATCTTTTCTTTGTTTGATTTGGAGAGAACAAGTATTAAGTTGTGAATAGGACATGATAAATAAGTAGGTATTGTGGTCTGCCTAGGTTTAGATCCTTCCTCGTTTTAAGCCCTGAGCAGAGATGGAAAAATAGCTTGCCTCTAGTAATTTCATGTTTTGTTTTGTGTTTTTTTTTTTTTTTTTTTCAGAGCTTTAAATAGAATTTGCTCTTTCTTGACAAATAGGCAGTGAATCTATAGATAAAAAGAGATTAGAATGAATACCAGTTTCATGCTTGCAAACAGGTTAAAATTAGCATTCTGCTTGTAGTCTTCAGATACGGAATAAACTTTGCTAGTCTTTTTTATCTGGCTTTTCATAAGTTGGTGTTCTGTTCTCTCATTTTGTAGATGCTTATGAAACAGCTAAGATGTTGTGTGAACAATACTATATGGTGGCACCTGATCTGGAAGTTGAAGAATTCAATGGTAATTGTGAAACTCATTTAAGTGATGTAATTAAGAAAAAGCATGTCTAATATCCATGGTTTATAGTTTTGGTAATTAATTGTAGGCTATAATTTGAACTCTGCAGTCCTATATGCAGCTACTTTTCTTGTCCTAATGTGTCCCTGTAGACACCTGGATTTTAGTTCATCACAATGATATTTATACAGAATGCTATCTGCTAAATTCACTATCATTTTAAGGAAAACAAAGGCATTTGAGAATCCTTGTGGCTGGGAAAGAAACAGGTCTGCCTCCTCATCTTTTAATGGAGCTCAAACTTATTTCATTTTTAAATACCCTCATAAATTCTACTCTCAGTCCCTTTTCTTTTTTTTTACTGTTAAAAAAAAAAAGTCTTGAGTAATCATCTCACAATGTTTGGACAGCGGTCCAAACAGAAGATGTTTCCAAACTTCATCAGAAGGCAAGGATTTGTAAAAGTCTCAGAAACAGAAAGTACTCAAAATAAAATTAAAATAGAACCTTGAATTTGGTGAGGTATAAGAGAATTGGAGTATGGACTCAAACAAAATTAATATTAATAAGGCAGCAAGTTGCCTTACAACTAATTAAGCAGAACATTATTTGGATACTCTCCTTTTCCAAAGGGTTTTCACCTGATCTTTTGGAAATTAGAAGACTTTGCATACCCTCCTATCTGTCTGTTAAAGTAGTATCTAGTATTATCATCATCCCTCTGTGCCAAAACAGGATGAACTTGACTCTGTGCATTCATGTTGATATCCACCTGCAACTTCAGAAGCATGGGTTTAGAGCTTTCTCTTCAATGTGAACTGCTGCTGAGTCTGACAGGCTATGACTGTATAATTTAAGTCAGTAGATAATTGAATGTTCAGGGATGACTGCATCTTGAGCATGAAAACTGTCCTCGAACGTATTAAGTGCAGCTATATTAATTCCTGCCAGTCAGCTACCACTAGTGTCCAGAGCTGTGCCATGCCACACACCTCTGCTGAAGCACTAGCACAGTAAACAAAACAATAAGTTATCATAATTTTCTTGTTCCAAAACATAATTTTAAATGTGTGGTACTCAGACTTTCAAAATGTATTTTCAATGCTTTAATTAAGGGAAATGTATTTTTTAGAATATTTAAACAGTGATTTTTAAAAAAAATTTAAGACTTGTCCAGCAAATGTTTAAATATAGCATGTGTTTAGAAAAAAAAAATCCTACACAAGTGGGAAAGCTGTCATGAATACCATGTTTAGTACTAAATAACCACTGCTTAGTCTTTTTTTATATCTAAAAGTCTGCTGACATTGTCTTTAAAAATCATTAGAATGTATCATTTAGATGATTAGCAGTAACTGATTTTTTTTATGGATCATATTTTGCACTCGGAAAATGAAAACATGCATACATGCTTCTTACTCTATAGCTTCATGTTAATCCTGTAAGTAAAAATGCTTCAAGATACCATTTTGAAAAAAAAAAATCTTTTTTTTTTTCCAGCTAAAGCTCCAAACAAGCCTATTCAAGTAGTCTACGTACCATCTCATTTGTTTCATATGTTATTTGAATTATTCAAGGTAGGTTGCGCTTGTTAATATTTGGAAAGGGTTCGTGAACTTGTGTTACTGTTGAAATTGAGGTTCTTTTCAGTGACAGTTCTGAAGTGTTATTTCAGTTTTCCTTTATTATTTTTATCCCAGTGAAGAGTTTGAAGTTTTGATGAATATCAAGTTCACAATCCTCTTATGCCCTTATATAATTAAAAAAATAAATAAATCTGAGTTATCTGAGTTTTCCCTCTTCTCCTTTTGGCCTTTTGAAGCTGATTAATTTAAACTAACTCATAATAGTCTTTGCAATGATGATGTATTATCTTACAGTTTCTACAAGCTTGCTTCATTATTGCATGTGCCTTCTGCTTAAGAGCAGTGCATATGTCTGAATAATGTAAATGGCATGCTTTGTCTTGGTTTTGTGTTTTGTGAATCACTGGAACAATAGTGAACACAGAACATGAGGGCTACTGTATCTTTGGAATCAGACAGGTGGTCTCTAGGTGGTGCAATTGAATAGAATTCCAGAAAAAAATTACACTTGGTCAGAGAATTTTTAGGAAAAAATGGTATTTTGGTTTTGATTGCTGGCACTAGTTAAGTATGTTCATTTAGATCTTCCTCTTTTGCTATTTGTAACACCACTTCTTGAGCAGAACAGATGAGAATTAGTATACTGCTTGTTTATGCTTTGGTACAAGTCATGAAACAGTGTGAAACCAGTAAATTCTAGCAATAAGTTATGTTAATGTGTGATGGACTGCCAGTGGAAACTCACAAAAAGCATATATGGTAAAGTTAGAATTAAAGACACATTTTTTCTTTTAACTTCAGAATTCAATGAGAGCTACCGTAGAGTTGCATGAAGGTAAGAGAGAAGCCTATCCATCGATCAAAACCTTAGTCACTCTGGGGAAAGAAGATCTATCTATTAAGGTAAGTGCCTAAAGATTAAGTTCATGTGCAACTTACTAACTGTTAGGCTTAGAATAATATGACTTGTAATTTGAAAAGTCAAATGAAGTACTGCATGACTTCTAATATTTGTTTCATATTCATTAATATTTCTAAAGTTATTTAGTTAATTTTAATGTGTTTTGTGTTTTTTTCAGAACATGATGTTTAAAACTAACTTTTTATTCCTTAGATAAGTGATCAAGGTGGAGGTGTACCTTTAAGGAAAATAGACAGATTGTTTAATTACATGTACTCAACAGCACCCAGACCTAGTTTGGAGCCCACGAGAGCTGTGCCTTTGGTAAGCAATTGTAATACATAATTAAATGTCCCTGAGCACTATTCTGTCAATTTCCTTTCAGTGCAATTTAATGGATCAGATTTTCCATTGAACTAATAGTTTATTGTTAGCAATTCTACACAGGTAAAACACATCAGGAGAAAACGAGGCTTGTTATCACCACTTAGTCCTTGGAACAGAAAATTGTTTTTCTTTGTCTTGACATTAAATTCTCGGAAACAAACATGTCTGCATAAGCACAATATTTTCATAGGTTAATGGACAGGATTTTTAGTGCTGTATTACCATGAAGGTGGATAACCTAAAGAGCTTCTCCTTGATGCATAAATTACTATTAATCTGAGTTTACTGTAGGAAATGCATTGAAGAGCCATGCTCTGAGCAACAGCCCTTGAGAAACCCCTCCTGGTAATGCACAATATATGGAACTTTGAAAATGATTCTTGTGCAAGTTATGGACCGTGAAAATGCATTTAAAAAAAAAAAATCTCTGATGTGCATGTGATATCATCACATTTGGTATATTCTTGTTCAGTTGGAGATATCATGTGCTGCTCTCGAATGAGATCAGATTTCAAACAAACAAAAAAAATCCCATAGCTTCTAAGTAGAGAATTATTTCAGTGCTGATTGTGTCTATTCTTTTAGTAGGCATGATTCTTTAAATTATTAGTAAAAATAAATAAATAAATAAAACAGTTTACTAATAATTTAAATGAGTCATTCTGATAAAAATTGTACGGCTGCTGTTCCCTCTGTTACCTTTGGCTTTCAACAAGTAGGTAAATACTGATACTGTGTTTCTATCTGTTCTTATTTTTGTTCCGTATTGTTTCTAATTTTTTGGTCGGTTTTGCTTTTCATGCAGTCCTTTATCTTCAAGAATGTCAAGAAAAAGTGTTATCTGGGAGGTTTCCTTTTCCTGTTTCTCATTTATCATGTTCTTGAGTGTTGATTTTTTTTTTTGGGTACTTCTGTGGTTGAAGTGCCTTCAGGCAGCTAACATAATGTGGTGCCAGAGGGTGTATGACTGTGCGTGATTCTGATATAAAGCAATTAACAGTGAATTGAAGGTTGAAACCAAATCAGAGTGGTTCAGAGGCAACACATTTCTTTTTAGGCTATAAGCAGAATCTGTGGTACTGTCTTAGACCACAGATTATAGCATCATGGTACGTAAGTGTATTGCATTGTTTTCACCAGTGCTTGATGTCACCATGGTACGTATGAAGCCCAGTTTTGTATCTACATTGACTTGATATTAATTCTTCAAGGTTCCTCATTCTACGATATATCTTGGTAAAATGCTTCAAATGGTACCATGCCTTTCATAAAATATTTAAAAATCTTCCTGATAAGGAGCAGGCCTTAATTCAAATATGAACTTCTTTCTTAAAATCAAGAATGGTGGAATCTTTCTTGATTGATAATCTGCCTTTGTTCTGTCTCAGTTTTGATCAGCAATTTACTGTAGGAGCCTACAAAGATTTCTTGAAACTTGTCCTTACTATAAACTTGTACCTTGATTGCCAGTTGTATTCACTATTAAAATGTCTCTGCCTTTGTGACTCTGATTGTAAAATGTTCAGCTTAAGATTTACACTATATTCATTTTTTCTATTCATCTTTAGCAATACATTCCTGTATTTATTTCCTAATCTTCCAGACAGCTTACTTTGATTCTGTGGCATTTATACTTAGTTTTCTTCTGCTCTGCCCCATCCTCAGGCTTTTTTTTCTCTTTTCAGTCTGTATGTCACTGTAGTCAGACCTGCAAAGTGTCCTCTCTTGTGAGCCTGGCAGCTTTTGCTCTGTGAATCTGACCTACCTGTATGACTGAACATTGTGAATTGTTAAGCTTTTATGTGTGGGGTTCAGATAGGGGGAAAAATAAATAAAAATCAAGAACTGCAAGTCTGCGGCATACCTTTCCACTAAGGAAAAAAAGGGCTTTCACAGTTAGGCTTGACATGTATTATGGTTCAGATCCAGTTATAAAAACAATTATTCCATATTTTGTATGTCAGTCTAAATATAATCTTTCAGCAGAAAGGTTTCACGTGAATGAGTCATCTTCAGAGTCTATGCAGAGGGAAGGTTTCTTTATTGCTTAGTGCCAAAGACCAAACCACTTAAGAATTATGCTCTAGAAGGTAGGTCTGTGTTCACATGTCATTCTTGACTTAGGTAATACTCATAAACTAAATTGCAGTGTAGTGTAAATAGATGTATTTTTCTGCTCTAACTATCCCTCCCCTTGTTGTATGATCCACCCGTCTCGTTTATGAAACGTTTATAGACTTGGAGTGGAAGAGAGGGCTTATTTTGTTGATTGGTAGAAGTTCTTTCTCGGTGTTACTGCAAATGTTTTTTTAATCTGCTGAGAAACCTTGTTACCATGGCAACATTCTGATTCTAGCAGGTCTTGTGCTCATCTGCGCTGTTATATGCGCACTGGAAACATTAGGAACACATGGTAATGTTTAATAAGTGGATCTTCTTAGAGAATTTAATGATTCTCCCTTTGGCAGGATTTGTTTACGGTGGGAGAAGTGTGACTTAAATCAGGTACAATTAAACCTGTTGACACTAGTGACACTAATAATTTCCCGTTTGTTTAGTACATGCTATAATATTTAGTGAGAAATTGGCCCTAAAAAGCTTTCTCATCTCAAGGTAGGTGTGCCATTATTGACTATATTCTGCCCTCTAGGTCGAGCACAGACCTGTGTAGCAATTGATTCTTGATGACGGTCTCTTCTGCAAAATACATCGAGGCTTGCCTTAACCAGTTACTCTTTGGTCATCTTTTGTCTTCGTATTTCTTACTAATTAACTGTTTTGGAAAATAACCTGAAGGCAGTATAGAGAAAAAAAAAAACAGGATCTTTTGAGGAAGAGTTGAAATAGCTATGTGGACCAGGACACAGTGTAAAAACACTTTCCTGGAAGGTGCAGGAGACAAACATGAGACAGGATTTCAAGGAGGTGTAATTCTCCAGACAGGGAAGTATAGTATGTTTCCAGGATTGCTTGATACTGCCCTTTACCTGAGCTGAGCAGTAACATCTACAATTTGCTTTTCAGTTACTTTGCTTTTTAGTTTTGGTAACGTATTTTTTTGCCCTGTCTCCAGAAGAGATACAATTAAGCTTTTGAACTCTCTTTTTTTAATTGTGAGTAGAAAAAAAAATGTCTTTCTTTGGTGTTTCCCTTTCTCCTTTTGCTCAGATGAACTGTTACAGTCTGTATTCAGTGTGAGCAATGCTGTAATCAGTTAAAGATCACGACATTTAGAGTTCTGTAAAACAGCAAAGAGGACAAAAGTTACCGTAGAAATGGTAGCTGACCTCAGGAGAATTTGTGATGGATACTGTAATATAAAGCTCTTTAATACATGTATTCACTCTGGTCCCCCAAGGGATGTCTTATAAAGTGACATCACATTTGCCTATTGCACATATTGCAATGCTCAGAAATCCTGCTTCTTAGCCTTCTTTGTCTTATTCTGGGGCTTTGTTACTAAGATTCAGGGCTTTGTTTTCACTTATTGCAAGCCTAGTATTACACCAGTCAACTAAAATGTTTTACTCTCTCTCTGAACCCGTGCTCTTCCCTGTATCTTTCAGGTTGCCTTTGTAGAAATAGTATAGTGGAATGAGTTCACTGGTTTTCTGAAACTTCACGTGTTGAATTCTTCTTGTAACCCACCTTTTTGGAAAAGCTTTGTTACTCTATTGCCTCGTATATCCTTACTTTCAGGTGCTTGTATGTCTGGAGTCCTTCTGTTGTTGCTTTAGATAGCCCTGAAAAATTCAGGGGAATTCAGGTGAATAATCAAACAGTGATTGTCAGCACATACCCAGTCATCTGAAAGAGAGGGTCTATAGACCGAAATCTTACTCCTTGGCTGCAGCTGAGAGAGTCTTGTTTATTTTTATGATAATTTCTTCTGGCAACAGTGTGTTGGAAGAGGTGCACATTCTTTGCTGAAGGGGTAAACAATACCAAGGATTATTTGTCTTGTATTTCTTTGTATGTTGTTAATGAAGTTAATTTACTCTGCGGTAGTCTTCTGACCTCCACTGTTATCTGTGGCATCTGTCAAAAATTTGGTATTGCCAAAGAAAGAATGGAGTATTACATCAACGGTGATCATAGAGAGGAAGCCACAGGCAGTTTGCAGCTTTGATGATTGGAGGCAACATATTCTAGCTCTTTGAGAAAATAAAAAATAGACAAGATAAAGAAATAAACCTTTGTCAGGATTGTTTATTTTCTCCTTTTCTGTACTTAAGCTTAAAAAAAAATATGTCTAGGAAAAAAGATTCCTCAAAGCATTGAATCCCAGCTTACAGTGCAGGCTGAGGAATTAAAGGAAAGCTTGAAGAAATATATTAAGGCAAATCTGGTATTCAGAAATCTGGTGTTTAGGTATCTGTAACACATCTGTAACAGTGATCTGTAATACTTTTTTAAGCTTTCCTCATGTTTTTTTTTTTCTGTTTGTTTTCTTGTTTTTTTCTAGGCTGGGTTTGGCTATGGCTTGCCAATTTCTCGTCTGTATGCTAGGTACTTCCAAGGTGACCTTAAACTCTACTCGATGGAAGGTGTTGGTTCAGATGCTGTAATTTATTTGAAGGTATGAATTTCACCCCCTTATAAGCTAGCAAGACAGTGCAACTTGAGAGTTTATAGCAGGCAGATAGTTCTGCTTAATAACTGAACTTTCTTTTCACTCTTTGTTTTCAAATTCATAATCACTACTTTCTTTGTGTTTTATCCAAATTAATTACACAGAATCTTAAAAACAGAACTTTATAAAAGTTAACATTGACACTAATACTGATTGGCTTGCTTTAGATTCTTTTTTTTTTCTAGTCCTGTGTTGGATCTTTGCATTTTGTTAACCCATGTAATGCTGAATTTTCAAACAACTGTGTGATAAGAGAGAATTTTTGGATAATACTTTTTGATTCTATGAGTTTTGACTGCAGTAAAACTGGAACAAGACTTTTTGACTAACTCCTGACTAGTACTTTTTTTTTTTCTATGCAGTCCTTGACCATTGTGCACTAGATAGTTTTGAACCTATTGTCCTTTTTCAGGAGTCAGGGGCTCTAAGTTGAAACTGCTTGAATTTCATCAGGGAATTTGAAAGAATATAGTGTAGCACATAGCTCATGCGGTGGTCATTGACTCAGTGTTACCTCTGTGCCTTGCTGCGTACAGTGAACAAGCTGTGGAATCCTGCACTAACTTCAGTTTCTGATGGATTTAATCTTCTGTGTGTGTGCATGGAGGAAAAAGGCATGTTGTTTCTTGGGGGGGGGGGGGGAGCGGGGAGAGGCATGCTAATCGATTGAACTATTATTTCCAGATTTGTGTGCTGACTGAGTCTGAGCTTATTGGGAAAGTTGAATATTTAAGTAAAGTATTAACGACAAATCTCTCTAAAATGCTCCCTGACCAAAACTTTTTCCTCTTGCTGTGTAGGCACTACTCACTAAAAAAATGTTTTCAAGTTTCATTTCTTTATTTTAACCTATTCTGAAATATAGTGCTTCAGGAACAAATGGTCACAGCCAAAGTACTTTCAAAATAGCATTGTGACATGTAACACTTGGATAATTAAGATACTTCTATGGTTACCACTTCTGTATTGGAACAACTCCCCGGAGCATCATCTTGCTCTTGGTGTCTCTAAGTGATATCTTACTGTTGCTTTTGTTTTCCCATAGGCCCTTTCAAGTGAATCATTTGAAAGACTTCCCGTTTTTAATAAGTCAGCGTGGCGACACTACAAGACCACACCTGAAGCAGATGACTGGAGCAATCCTAGCAGTGAACCAAGGGATGCTTCTAAATACAAAGCTAATCGATAATTTGCTACCTTTTGTCTCTGCTGGAGATGACCTCTGCGTTCAGTATAAAGTCTCTGCTTTGTTCCAAAATCCTTCAAACCACAATAGCTAATTACTTCCAAACAAAGACCTAATCAGGGCATTGAAAAATAGTAAGAACAAAGTGATGATTGGGACTTACAGGAAGGCACTAAGCACGTTTGGTATGTGACCTCTACCTACTTCACAGAATATGCTTGGTTGCTTCAGTCATGCATTGACAAAAGGGATTGCACTGTGATTGCGCCTAAGTACATAAAGTTGTAACAAAAGATACTGTTTTAAGTGCCAATTTTTATTCCAGTAAGGATTGGCAGATTGTGCAGAATCCCTTTTCCTGGTGAACAGTATCTTGCACAGCAATATGGTGTAAGAGAGAAATTCTAGTGTAGTTAAATATATGCTTTGAAAATCCATTCTTTGCTGCATTTTATTTTGCTCAGTGTCACCTGTTACATAAAATTCCTTTGAGCTCTCTAGATTTTACATCTAATGAGCTTATAAATGCATAGTTCTAAAAAGGGTTGTACAGCTTTAAACTGATGCTTACCCCAAATTCCCAAAACCTTTTGTCAAGTGCATACAAAAATTATGTTGTTGTAAGACATTGGGACTTCCACTTTTTGGTATGTACCTTAATCATTCTCTTGACACAGAAACACAAATATATTTTTAAACATTTTTCCTTGTTTTAGGGAAAAATCATAAGTAGTTAGATCATCTCTCCATACAAAAAGTCCTGTCAATGTGTGGGGGCAGGAGGTAATTAAATTTCATGTTTATTGCCTGTCATCTTGGGGGGTGGGAGGGCTGAAGGGAGAGAAATCTGAAAGGCCGGCCAGCCAGTCATATTTGCCTTAAGCGTGTTGGTTGCTTGGAACCTGATTAGTTTAAAACCTGTAAATAGTTTGCAAAGTTATTTATATATTCAATGTCTGACAACAGTCTGGTAATCTGAATTTGTAGTGTATATAAAGATGTTGTACACCAGCTTTTGGAAAGTGTCATTGGTCTAAATAAATGAAACTGGAAGTATCAGAGAAATGGGAAGGGCAAAATATAGTTGGTACCTGATCTGAAAGAAAAAGAAAATTAAAGAGGACAAAACTAAGTGTTAACTCCTTAGCTTTGTTGTAGGGGTTACTACTGAGTATTAGGAAGCTGTTCTTCACCAAGTCTCTGCCAAAATTCCCTGCCAAATACTGTTTCTGCTACTATGGCCTTTCAGAATTAGTGAGGTTTCGAAGTTCTGGTGATGACATAGCCATGGGAGTAAAGGAGATGAGGTGGAAGCAATTTTGCACTTTCACTTTCTCCTAGATGTTTTGATATTTTTTTGAAAGACATTGCAGATTTTAGTACAGAAAATGAAACACGTTTACTGAAATTGTGGGGGAACTGTCCTTTTTTCCTCTCAATATTTACTTTTGTAAAGAACCAGTCTGTTAGTTAAACAGGGAAATGCTGAGAAATTGCTAGATTTTAAAACAAACAAAACCCCTTAGTTTAACTTCATGATAGTACTTTGCACCTGCATAGCACATTTCATCAAAGGATTATAAGCAATAAGTTACATGTAGACCCACTTCTTTCTGAAAACTCAGACTCCTGATCTCCCAAACCTGTGCTCTCAGCTGTCCCAGTCCGTTCAGGAATGTGTATGCACGTAGTTCTTGAGTTCGCAGGGCTCGAGTCTCTGTAGGCTTCTCTCCACTGAAGCTGAAGTCACGTTGGAGTGGCAGCTGGCTTCAGCACGGTCCCTGTCCTGCGCGTCCCCACAGAGTGCTGCGACACCGATGGAGGCAGAAGCAGCAGGAGGGCTGCTGAGCGCCCTGCAGAGCCCGACAGGTGGGACGAGGGAGTGTGCTGGGGGCTGCCCTGTCCCCAACCAGGTGTGCTGAATGCTCCCTGGGAAGTCTTTACAGGGCGCAGTGGGGGCGTAACCGTGTGACCTCCAGAGCAATAATTTCCTATGGCTGCGCAGGAAGCAGATGGACGTTCAAGCGGCGCGGCTCTGCTGCTGTGGTGGAATCGGTGCAAGCTGATGTGACCTCCAGCTGATGTTCCAGTTCTACTAACATTCAGTCAGTTAACTTCTGCCTTCACCCCTAACTTCTTACTGCTTCTTGAATTCATTTCAGGTTGTGTTTTTTCTACTAAAAATAGGAATTTGTGATGAAACTAATATTTTCCCAATTGTATGTGATCGCTTTTTCCTGGAACATTACCTAAAAATTACCGAAAACATTCCAAGGAATAAGATAGTCTGTGTAAGAAGCTGAAGTTCAGCTTTTGTTAGAAATCGTATTTTGTAGTAGCAAATCCTGACCTGGTGCTTCTTTTTGGCACCCTCCTTATAAATGAAGAGGAGAGGGAACAGAAAAAAGAGGATGCAAACATACTGAAATGTGAAATGACTTCATGGACTGTTAGTGTTAGGTCAGAGGTTGGACTTGATGATCTTGAGGTCTCTTCCAATCTAGAAATTCTGTGATTCTGTGATACGAAGTGACTGTAAGCAATGGAAGAAGCCAGCAAACAGAAGGTGAAATTCTGTGCAGGATCTTATGTTGTTAGTCATTTCACTGCTTTCTTCTCAAAAACGGTTGGCTTTCAGGACTAAAGCATTGTAGTACTTGGGAACTGAAGTCCCCTGAAATGGCAACCATTTCCAAGAACGAAGGTACAAACTGATCAGAGCAGGGAAATGGAGCACAAGGACTGCATTTATTTTTCCATTTTCCAAAGCTTGTCCTTGGGCATTATGCTGAACGAGTGAGCAGCAGCATTGCTCCTCTCCAACCTTGACCAAGCAGCCTGCACTTGAATCGAGATCTTTGGTGTGCCATAAATTATTTACTTGTTGTCCTTACGCCGCATTCCTGCACAGGAGTATGTCTGGAAACTGTCTTTGGAAGCAACAGCAGCAGACCTTCAAGAATTTTCTAGTGGGTATTCCAGAAAAATGAGGGTGGATAGGTTTTTAGTATGGCTAGTTTGACTACAGATACTATTTTTACTACAGATACCGTTGTTTTTCCAGTTACTGCTACCTTTTTATTAACTATTTGCTTTAATACTTTGGGGCAGTTAATTCCAAACTTAATTTTCTGACGTTATAAAAGTTCCATTTTTATGGATTTCAGATGTGCGGTCTGCTGATGTTGTTGCAACCTGCTTGTCTTGGATTACAGGGCACAGTAAATAAGGAGGGGAAAAAGATGTTTTCAGTGAAAATGCTGTGTATCTTTTGTGTTTAGTGATTAACAGAAACGAATTTCCAAACAACTTCTGCATGTTGCAGTGTAACAGAATAGCTCAGCTTTCTCTTCTAGTGCCTGTTTCTCTGGTGTATCTGTTGTGGATGTGATACAATAACGCCCTGCCTAGTTTCATGCCAATGGACACGAAGCCTCTCCAAACAATATACACCTCTCTGCTCCCTGCTTTTCTAGGCTTTGTTTTGAGGTGTCAGCGCTTGATGAGAAAGATGGTGAAATGGTCACAGGTGCGCAGTCTTGTCTCTGAACTCACTGTGATGGTCTGCAGTTGTACTGCAAGAGCCTTTGTCCTGCTGCAGTTTGTGCCACCTCTTGGGCACGTTCAGAGCTGGTCCCTTGAGACATGCACAAAGAACGTGGATGTTCATTCCCGTGCTCGTGGACAACTCAAGCTACTTTTTGGTTGCGTCAACTACACTTGTTGCTCCAACTGGATAGTGTAATTTTCTTTAACTTCAGTGGCATGTAGAATTTGTTTGTTTGGCTTAAACAGCCCTTCACTTTGTCCAAAAAGTAAATGGAGTGACTATTTTTCACTGTAGCGTAATCTCCTCTTCACCTCAAGGCAGGCTAAGTATTTAGGGTGAAACCTTGACCTCATTGATACAGAAAACATTTCTCCCCCTTCACCTTTAGTAAGCACTTCTAGAGCCTTACATGTTGGGTGCTGCAAAGTGATCTTGATTGGTATAAACCACTCTGTAGAAAATGAACTAAATGTTTATTGTTAGTATTTATCTCGACAATAACCACGTCCAGTTGTGAGGTGTTTGGTTCGTATGCATGTTTCCTCCGTTCCCCTACAGATGCTGTGGTTGCTGCTAGCTCTTCATCTCCTCTTCCTGACACTCACTCACCTACGAATTGTACCAGATAAGTGTGGTTTTGAGAACTTAAGGTAGCATGATGGCAGGATGATGCCTTACTGAGCTCAAAGGTGAGTTTGATTGCAAGTGAGGAACGCAGTCACAAATTGTGTAGCGACTTCAGGGCTGAACCTTGCAAATGCTTGCACAAGTAGCAGCTTATGAGAGGCATCCCACTTAAGTGAATCTGTTCTCAGGATCAAGATTTAAGCTGTTGACGTTCATTTGAAACAAAGTTTTTGTAACTAAAGTTTTAATTAAGAACTAGTAAGAAAGTTTAAAGTTCATGTACTTTAAATGCCGTATTAAGTTGCCTTAAAAGATCTCAAAGTTGGCATAGGGAACTTTCTTGAATTTAGAGTTTTTTTGTAGGGTTGGTATGTTTGTGGTAATTCTAATATTGTCAAGCTTTCAATTCCTTATTGGAATTCTTCCCTTGAGTTGAATGCTGCCGAGAGGTGCCAGATGGACGGTCCTTTGAAATTCTTACCCGCGTCTACAGCCTGCGCTAGGTGACAGGCAGTGGCAGGGCAGTGTCCCAGTGGTGCTGCCGGCAAGACCTGCCCTTCCCTGGGAGACCTGCTGATGGTTTCACGCTTGCCTTCTCTGCCGAGCTGTTAGCAGCATGCTGAAACGTGTGCTAGCCGTACTGGGGGTTACGATGCGAGTTTCCAGGGTGGGAACGGAGTGGATTTGTTCCCCGCGTTGGCTGCGGGGCTGAGTTCTTGCGGTGCCGGCTCAGGTCGCTGGTGGGCTCGCCCGTGCTGTCCCGTCCAGGAGGCGTCACGGGGCTTTCTGTCGTGGCATCGCTGGGACCAGCCCAGCCCGTAACGGGGGAGCGGGGAGCTGATTTCCGTGGGGTTACCTGGTGGTGTTTTAAGTCCAATTTCGAGTCTTCTGTACTTTGTGTTGGAATTGTTTCTAGTCTGATACCCTTGTATATAACTTGTGTATATTCTTATTTCCCTTTTCTTCTTGTCATTGCTGACAAATAAAAGTATGCAAAAAAACCCTACACAATGACACTTTCAAGGGACTGATTCAGTTTCACACACGCTGTATGGAGCTTAGCCTGTGATTTGGCAGCCCGGGGGAACTTCAGGCATGCTCTCAGGTGGACCTTCAGTTTGGAGCTCAAAGTGATTTTAGATTAAAGCATCCTTCTTGTCTGTTTTGTCACAAAGCAGGTTGAAATTTTTGTAAGTCTTACAGAAATATTCGAGTGTTTCCAAGTTCATCTCTACCCCTTTTCATCCGAATTTGTTATCTCAAGCATGACTGATTTTTGGTTTATTTGGTTCTAGAACAATACATAAATGTGATTGTTTCTGTATTGTATTACTCTGAATTTTCTGGTGTATTTAACTTGATTTCTTTTGTATCAGTACCTTAAACTACCTGGAAGTCTGAAACTTTGTCTTCTGAGTTTTATTCCTATCAAGTATGAGTCTGGACTTTATGAACACATTTTCACAGGAAACTAATCTTCTTTCTAAGGCTTTGCCATTTCAGTTAGCTATCAGTGATTTTTGTGGCATAAAACTTAGTTTTTAGAAAGGTAAAATCGCGTGCTAATGTAGCTGGATGTTACTATTCTTGTTTTTGCTGTTGTGCTAAAAACATGACACCAAAGTACTTACGAAGATGACAGTTCTGCAGTCAACAAAACAGGACTACACTTTGAGTAGAAACTTGTAAGAACTTTTTCTCTACTGATTGTAAATCTGAAGCTGTATCTTTCTATGGAGTAATGGAAATATAAAAGCACACTTGGGAGACCTCCTTCTTGAAAAACTGGCCACTGCAGAAATTACTCTGCTTCCATCATTTTTGCAAACTATTTTTTTGTTTTCCTTCTTTTTCCATACGGGCAGGCATCCTGGTCTCTACAGCTTAGCAGCCTGGGGAACATGGGGTAGGGAGAAGGCGAGGGGGTGTGGGTGGGAATATGTACCCTAAAGTATCTTGGGATAAAACATTATTGTTTTCTTGTTTGGTAATCTGAGTTTAGAAAATTGAGTTACCTGTTTTACTCTCTCTCCTTAGCTAGAATTCATTGCTCCTTTCTCAGGACAACGAGGTAAGAAAAGTTCAGGCTTCTTTTCGAGAAACTGCTGCTTTGAGTAGCTGCCTACAGGAGGAGGACTGCAGCAGGAACCCCGGATTCTCCTTTCCTCACTTTCATGAAGGAATCCCAAAGCTCACGGATATGAAATTGCAGTCACTTATAAATTGAACTTACTTGGTGACTGAGTATGACCATTTGAAAACATTAAATGTTTAAAAAACATAATAGTTTATGTTCTCCACTTTTATTTGGGGGGGACACAGGTTAATAAGCAGAAAACTTGTTAGCGCTGGTAAAGCATAGGAGCTGATTCAAGCAGTTTGGTACCATCTGCACATCAAGGAAGTTTTGAACTTCACTGAAAGTTCAGGCAGACTGCTGTGGCTTTGTGCACAGTCTTGTGAGCAAAGGGTGTGGGGTTTTTTCCTTTGGATTTATAGCCCTTACTGTTGATCAAGGCTTGATTGTTGAATAATGCGATAATTGATAGGCTTAATGTGTCAGTGGCAGTAAGAGAAAGGAGTATTTGAGCCCTTGAGTGGTCGTCATTACTGTCATAGCAGCACGACCTCTCGGCACCTCAGGTGGCTGCTCTGCACAAGTTGGGGATTTAGCGGCACCAAATCCTGCGTGATGCTGAAGGCAGAGATGGAGCTACCTGCTCCGGCAGCGCTGATGCTTTCTGTGAAGTGACGAGGTTTGAAGCCTGCTGGTTTAGCCACTGTATTTCCGTGGAGTATCACATTTCCTTTAACGATTACTATGGATTGCCTCCCTCACTTATCCTTGCTTCCTGACATTGAAGCAATAGAAGCTTCTCCAGAGGTTTGGAACAAAAAGTGAGTTGTTGTGGGTTTCCTAAGCTCTGGTGTCTGATTGTTCAGTGTACAGCAGCAGTTCGTCACCACTCATTTTCTTTGAAGCATATGAGCACCTTTTATTTCCCTGTTACATAAATATCCCTAAAACTGAAGTTCATTGGATGGTTCCTGACATTTGAGATGTCTGTTACAAAATAACACCTCCAGGCTTCTACCTGGAAACTTTTTCAGCTTTCCATGAAGTTTTGTAAGTGCTTGTAACTTTTTGTAGCTAACGGAGCAATTCCAGGGCAGGGAAATACCTGAAGACCCATCTTTCTTAACTCACTAACATTTGCCTTAAGTAATGAAGCTCAAGTTGGTCATAATTTTGCTAGATCTGAGATAAGTTCATCTGAAAGAAAACTTTGAAACTTCAGAAGAAATGTGTTGTACTTTCTCACTGCTTACCATTTGACGTAACAGGGTCTTTGCAGGAGCTGTGTGGCTGATTGGCTTCTCTGTCCAAAAGCAAAAGGCAAGTCACCATGCACGCAGCTAGGAGACTTGATCTGAAGGTTGTAGAAAGACTTTCCTCCTTAACCCGTCACTTGATTCTTTTTTTTTTTTTTTTTTGAAATTAATAAAAAGATGCATGTAAATATTTTTTTTAAATATTTTGAGAAGAGTTTCTGTTTGGCCAGTTTTCAAGGTCACACAATGGTCTGTGTTCTGGTATTATTTCAAAGGACAACTTCATAAACATTTTCTTGTGGTTATCAAAATTGATGCCAGATTGCGTTGCGAGATGTAAATCATTGAAATGTCAGAGCCAGCCTAGCATACCTGAGCTTGTCATGTGGTAGGCAGCTTCCTTACCTGTTTTTCTTTGTTCTTTATCCTTACAATAATAATACCTTCATAGGTGTATGTATACTTGATACAGTACTTGGGGCTGCAGAGGACCAGCACTTACGGCACGGTTCCTTTGCATTCAGTTAAAGGAACCAGGATTTTTGTGTGCGCGTGTGAGGTGATCGGTCACGGCTGTGTGGTGGTCTCCGTGGTTCTAGGTGCTGGTGAAGCGGTGTCTTTTCTTCTCTATTTTTAGAAAAGTAAACTGGTCCGTTGTCAGTATGATGCGGTAATGCTTGAAAACTGCCTGCTCTGTTATGCACTAAGTGCAGTAGCTAGGTGCTGTACATTATGAAACTTAACAATTACACAATTTTTCTCACAAACATATTACTGGCCATTTGTGAAGTGTGAAGAAGTTGGAGTTGGTTGGAGTTGTGCTTGTGTTCTGAAATATTTCAGTACGTTTTGTCTTACCATTACTCTGTACGCTTTGATGGTGAGGAATACCAACTTGCTAAACATTGGGTTTTATAGGAAGAGAAGTGAAGTTTCTGGGTTTTTAATGACCTGTGAAAGATCTGATCTCATTCAGTTGGCGTGCGAAGTCAGCTTTGGCACGGCAGCGCTACCATCCTTTGCATAATGGCTAAATGCATTTTATTGACCTTCTGATTTGCCCTGTGCTCCCCTGTTTAGTTTCTGTCTGTAACCATGAATTGTCTTGAATTCCCAGAAACAGGAAGGCAAAAAGCGTTAGATTAGAGCTGTTTGACCTGATACCATTGGTTTTTCCTCGTATTTCCTTAAAAGATACAGAACGTGAGCTCGCTGGACTTTTCTGATGGTTCTCTGTGTTTATAGTGTTTGATACACCTGTGTGCTGGGGAATTCATTGAAGAAAAGGTGCTCCTGAAAAACAAACCACCACCAACAAAACAAAACTTGCTGTGCTGCTTGGCTTCATGTTTCACTTGGAGCCAGCAAATTTAGAGGGGCAGTCCTATTAATTCTTACACAGTATGTGTTGCAGTTTTCTATTTGCATGTGGAATGATGAATATTTAAAATGTCCTTGCTCTTTTCTGAAATAGTGCACACGTTCAGGAGGGACCTTTTAGATAGCCAAAGCAGGAGGGGGACAAATCTGTCTGTAAGGGATAGTTCCGTATTTCATTCTGGCATTTGGCCTTTAATTATATACTATAACAGTGCAACTTACGGTGCTGTTAAAAGTGAAACTTTTTAGCTTTTAAACTGAAATAGAGCTAAGCCAATACTCAGGTGTTACACAAGAAGCTGGCACAAGAGCTCTTTGCCTTGCACTGCAGAAAACCCTTCCTGCTGTGCTGCCCTGACTTGGAGACTTCTCTTATTCCATGTTTAAAAATGGCTCAGCTGGGAAGTGCTGAAACCTCGTCTGCTGGCTGAGCTTCTCTCTGCCTGAGGCAGGGCCGTCTAAAACAAAACAGGGGTCAGGCCAGGGGCTGGCTGTGCGTGCTGTGAAATGAAGGTGAGAGGCGGTGCGTGTCTGTTGTACGCTGTTTATTTTTCATGTGGAGCTTGGCTGATAAATAGGACTGAATCAAAGCAACGCTCATGAAAAATAAAACCCAACCATGACTCAGAAGTGCAAAATTGCCCTCCGCGTGTCCAAAGACAATGAGGTTCTGGTTTGCTGGAGAAAGCGTGTGGGTGTCGGTGCCTGTACCAGCGGGGGAAAGGCTTCAGCTCCGCTGTCCTACCTGTGAGGAGGACGCCTGGTACAGGATATGGCTTTGTCACGGGGTGGCCACCTGTGGCTGAGAAACAGCTCCCGCTACGAAGAGGTCGGGCCGCCGAGTTTTTCTCCGGGTCCTATGTACAAGCCGTGGGCGCTGCCTTCTGCTCGGGCTGCTGGGCAGGACGCGCGATGGAGCTGGGACAAGCGGTGGGGCTGGAGAACAAGGAGACCCTGCCCACCTCCACCGCCTTCGGGCATGGCTCCTCGTGTAAACAGCACCAGTAGGAGGGGGCAGGCAGGCTCCACGGCGCGGCAGCGGGTTGCGATGGGAAGACTTCGACTTGCCAAGGACGGGAGGGACCAAGGAGCACATCCCGGGTGCGGAGTTACGGTGTTGCCTGAGGCTGAGGAAGGTCTGCACCGCATCGCCCCGTCAGGCGCAGCAGCTGGGTGAGCCGCGGCGCTCCTCGCACTGCCCCGGGGGAGCAGCAGCCACCCTGCTCCCGATGGCCTCTGCGCAGCCCTGCGGGGAGCTCGCTGGGCTCCAGCAGACAGAGAGTGCCATGAGATCCTGCTCGGCCTGGCGGGAGGCTGAGCTGGGCCTGGCAAAGTGTGCCCGAAGGCAAATCGGTTACCCCGTTATCCCATGGGGCGGGGGGAAGCTGTGGGGAGTGAACAAAGCGCGGGGCTAACTCGGTGCCAGGGGCTGCGATTTACTTGCCTGGAGAGTTTGGGAGGGAGGGAAGGTACCCAGCTACCCAGTGCGTCCCTCGGGAAGGGAGGCTGCTGCAGGCTGTGCTCCCGTCTAAAAGGTTTCCATTGTGTTTTCCAGCCTCTTCTCCCTGTTGGGATAGAGGAATGGCCTCGGGACCCCACGCAGGGGCTGCGTGTCTATGAGCACATCTTGTTCAGGGTTTCACGAGAAATTTAAACCTAATTGGATTAGGAGCATGTGAGGGCAGTAGCACTGCTGGGCTCGTCGCTTGGCCATGCCTGTCTGGGAGCAGCAGGGTTCCTGGGGGAGAGGTTTGTTCTTAGGCTGCGGGATCCCACGTGCACTTCTGGAATTCACCACTAAAACCCATCAACGCCCTCAAAGCAGCTTCTGCCCACAGCAACACGTCCCAGTCAGGACTGGCTTCGTTTACTTACTTGCCTCCGAAGTGCAAAACGGGGAGCGGAACAGAGGTGGTCAGGCAGCTGCTCAGGCACTAGGAACGTGGGGAACACCGAGAAAGCAAAGGGGTCGGTGCAGCCTGCATCTCCGCGTGCGCCCTGGACAGAGGCTTGGTCAGCAAGCAACACTGCGCAGCCTGAACGCATCGAGCGACCCTCCGCAAACCCCACCGGGCAGCTCTCCGCTCTGCTGGCACCCTCTGGGCAGACCTCATTCAAAACAAACGAGGTGAGATTTCCTTTCCTGTTTTGCTGCAGCAGCGCCCTTCCTTCCCGTGCTGGAAGAGCTCAGGGTCAGCAGGGTCCGACGCAGCCGCCGCGGCCGTGGCTTTGCCCGTGCTGCCTGCGGGCTCAGCGCAGGTCCCGCTGGCCCGGCCACCGCTGGTGGGGCCTCCCGGCACGGCGAGGGAGCAGGGACGGGTTCAGCTCTTCCTGAGATCTCCCTTGCTGTGCTCCAGTCCGTTTTCGTCGTCTCCCAGGGCGCGTTCCCTGCTGTCAGAGGGACCCCAGGTGGTCCTCGCGCTTCTCCCCATCCGGCGGTCGAGTTCATAGCTTGTTCTTCTGTCTCATGGTTATAAAAATAGATATCTTTATTTTACTTCTCGTCCTCGTCCCCCTCGCTCATGCTGCTGAGGGAGGCGGAGGCAGCTTTAGGAGAAGAGGGAGGGGAGGCTTTATTGAAGACCCAGGGTGGGGACGGCGAACGGGACGGAGAGCGGCCTCGCGTGGGGCTGCTGCTTGGGCTCTGCCTCGGAGAGAAAGCCTGGAGCATTCGGCCGCTCCGCTCCTGGAACATCTGCTTCTGTGGAAACAAAGGGGAGAGGCGCCGTGAGTAAGGCACAGAGGGGAAGGCGTCCGGGCAAACGGGCTGCTCTGCCTGGGGAGGGCAGAGCAAGCAGCTTCTGCTCTGCAGCACAGCCCAGATGTGCTTTGCCTCTTACACCGTGCCCGTACTGAGTTGGTTCTCACCTGATGAGGTTTTGTCTTAGCAAGGACGCCCCTAGCACGAGAAAACTCCACGTGTTGTCCTGAGCCAGCCCTGGGGACCTCCCCCTGGCTGACTTCAGACGTGTTGGTGATTGTGTCCCACACAGCCGGCTCTCTGCCTGAGCTCCAGGTGCCCCTCGTTCCCAGGCCCTTTTCCTCACAGTGTGCTGGGGCAGGGCACCTCTGCAGGCCAGCAGCTCTGCTCCTCCTCCCCTTCCCCAGGGAGGCAGCCCTGTGCCTGCCCCGTTCTGGCAGCCGCTTCCCCAGGCAGCTGGAGCACGCATCCCCAAACCCTTCAGGTGGGGCAAGGGAGGGAATGCCAGAATTCGGACATCCATTTAAAAGAGAAACGCGTGCAGGCGCATGTTCTGCTGTGGGCTTTATTGTCACTTGCTCTGCAAAGCCAAGTGGGGAGCTGCTGGAGCTGGCGGGGTGCAGCCGCCCCCACTCTGCAGTCAGGGGAGCGGCTGCAGAAGGCAAATCAGTGCTGCTGCTCCTTGGCGCCGGCATGGCCTTGCCGTCGGGCTCCAGGGCGGGTTGCAGGGGGTCTGCCTCGTGCTGCACGGCTGCCGCAGGCTTCATGGGGAGAATGCAAACTCAGAGCGCCTCGCTTCTGCTCTTGGAAGGGGGGAGCAAGAGCTCTCAGCCTCGCCTGGAGCACTGGAAGTCGGCTCGTAGGTGATGCTCAGCTGGAATGGAAGAGCCATCCCCAGCAAGGTTAAGTTACCTGAGAGCAAAACGCTTCCACAGCCCCTGTGCTGGGCACTGCTTGGGCAGCCAAAGTCCCCAGCAGTTTCTCAGCTTGCAGTTACGTTTGGTTCCTCCTGCAGCTGGTGTGCCCTGCGCTGTCCTTCCCCCAGCCAGGGAGCACGGGGCTGCCCCTCACTCTTCCTCCCTTTGCCACTCACTGTTTCCTGACAGAGGAGCAGCAAACGTGAGGTTTTTCCATCAGGTTTCTGCCCTGGGCTGATTCAGCCTGTTTCAGCCTCTCCCTGAAAATAACCCTCCCCCAAAGCATGGGCTTTGATATGAAATATTTCTTTATCCTGGCCAAGCAAAACATTTTGTCTCCCTCCTGTCCCTGCCCCCTCCCAGCTGTGTCAGGAAGCTCAGTGGCACTGCAGTGCTTCACAGTACCGGTGTTGGCGATGGGAGCAGCCCTGCCCCACCGGGCACTGCCCTGGCTCTGCTCTCTGTAGCCCCCTTGGCTGTGCCCTGGGCTGTAAGGGAGCACCCCACCTTCCTGCTTCGTTCTGGGGGAAGACTGGTGCAGAAACGCTGTCCTGTAAGCTTTGCCTTCTCTCCACTGATCTCAAGTGCAGCTGTCTGCTCCTGAATGTCTGACTGTGGGGTGAGCTTAGTCCCACCGGCACTCTGTGTCGACCAGGAGGGCCCAGGCTGTGCCGTGCTGCTCTCAGACCAGAGCAGAAGTTTGACGCCACGCTAATTGCTGTTGTTTCTGACACCTCTGTGACTCGCCCAGAAAGGCGCACACAGAGCCGTGTACAGGTGGGCTAGGCTATGAAGGCATCGCATACGTCTTGTCAGCTCGGAAACTGACGTTCTGACCTTTCCCAGAAGCTGCTGGTTTTGTGTGGGTTGCGTGGCCCCCACTTTTAGAAAATTGATGCCAGCATAAAGCGTATTCTAATGACTATTTGTGAAATAATAATAGCTTATTAATGGGATGCAAATTGCTGATCTAGGAAGCTAGCATGCCCATAACGATTCCTGTACTTTTAATGTCAACATTAAAAGCAACATCTAACTAACTGTGATACGGCAAATTAATGTTAATAACAGTTTTGACACTAATAGCAAGTTATCAGTATTTTAAAAGTCTTTCCTGCTGCAAGGCTCAAACTGCTTTAAAAAAGCCACAACACCTTTCAGCTCGCTGTCACGGATGCTTTTCCTGCAAGAGTACAAGGAGATTTCACTCCTTTCACTCCCAGGCTTTTTCTTGGCAAAGGTCTCTGATTGCATCAGCTTTCCTACTTCGTGGTGCGGACACTAACTCAGAAAACACCCCAGCATCCCCTCAGAAGACCTTCACAGAGCAGCTTCTCTCTAATAAGTTGAATTCCATAAAATATTTATCACTAAAGGGCTTTTTAATGTCCTCAGTGTGTGTTTTTGAGGGGGTGGAGCAAGGTAATAGCATCAAGGCTTTGCAATTCTTTTCTCTCTGCACAACCAAGCTCATCTCACCCCCCGTGGCCTTCCCACAACCTGTCAGCACTCTGTTTGTTCAGCACCTGCGGCCATCGGACCGTCTCCACATCGGGAACGCTGACTGGCAACCACCACCCTCTTCGTGTGGATGTGGTCAGTGCAGGTAAACCTGGGCTAGTCACCAAAAGAGTTCACAGCCTTCACTTTCCAAAGGAAAATGATAGCACTAGTGAACGATTTGCTAAAATGCCGAGGGTTTGTTTATAAGCAGAAGCTCTGCTGAGATCCTTCCAACACAGCATGCTATTCACGATGCTGTGTTGTTGGAGTACAGACTGATAAAAGTAAGGTGAGAGAACATCGTGGCTGTGTTGGCTTTTTAAAGCTAATAGTATCTGCTTCACGCTAGTCCTAAACTGTTTGTTTCTGGCTTGCTGCCTCTGTTGACATTGTCTCAAACTGTAATCCATCAGCAGTTAAAGCTGTGCACAATTCTCTTGCAGAGGGTTTGCTCTCAAGTGAGGAGGGAGCTGCCTGGCTGCACACCGTGGTGTGAAAAAGCCCCTCTGAAGCATCCTGCTGTTCTGCTCAGTATTTGTCTAGTTCTTACTCTTCTCCCCTCAGTTTTCTCTGCATGGCTTGCTGCTCTCCTCCCTGCTCCCACGCATTTCCTGAGGCCAAGCTAAAGCCTCACTTGCTTGGAGCCAAAACAACACATCTGAGATCGTGCCTGTCTCAAGGGGTTTGGCTGGGGCCTGGGATTTTCACCAGGAAACACCTGCACGGAGCGCTTGTTGGGAAAGGACCAACACCCAGCAAGAAGGGCTGAGAAGTTCAGTACAAACAAATGGCAACCTCTGCATTCAAATTAAGCTTTGCTGCTGGATTCAAGCTAGCATGGGAAGTGTCACAAGAAAATAAAGCTGCTGCATGTCTGACAGGCTGTCAGAAATGAAAAAAGGGGGCCAGGACTCTTCTGGGGCTCTGGATTGTCACCAACTCGCCACTCACTGCCTGATTTTAGTTTGGTCAGGTAAGGCCTTCGGGCTTCTCCCCAGAACTGATAGTGTCCCAGCCTCTCAGCTGCCCTACCAAAGCCCTGCAAATCTTTGGTAAATGGGCACTGGGGCACTAGCACTTAACCATGGACACCTTCAGAAGTGCTTCACTTCTACCTGACACTTCTCTGCAGTCAGTCGGGTGACCCTGGCCACTAGACATGCAAAATCATTTCTCAGAACTTTACATCGGCAGTTTTTAAGGTTAGAAAATGTCATCTTCTATTGTTGAATGCAGAGAATAAATGGAACAACTCAACTTCTCAGTGTTGCTGTTTCCCTCACCACCTTCAGTGAATAATTTCTCTCTCATGTCTGTGTGGGCCCGTTTAGTTCTAACAGGGAAACAGACGGCATCAGCCTGTTTGCTAGTACGTGGCTGTTAGGCAGCACTACTGAATGCAGCATCATACCCAGCACTGCAACTTATTTGACAGCAAGGCATCACCCTGGTAAAAAAAATAAAAATTCTATAAACATTAAAGACAGCAGTTGTCCCAAAGGAGCAACAGACATGGCAAATCCTCCTGCTGCAGTACTGGCATGCATTATTGGATCCAACAAGCAGGTCTGGCACTAGTCTGCTGTGCTGGCTTTTGAAACAAAGACTACAGCAAAGGAATTTGCTCTTGATCTGTGTTATAGGGGGATAAAAAATAATAATAAAAACAACACTCAGACTTCCTGGGATGGCAGAACACCTACCAAAGCTCCATCAGGTCCAAACAGCTCTAAAAAGTTGCCGATAAATTCCCTGGACTTTTCTTCCCATTTCTGAATGAGGTCATGGCTCTTCTCTTCCACCTTGTTAACAAATTCTTTTGATTTTTCTTCCACGTTCTTTACTTTTTCTTTCATTTTGTCCACTTGGTTTTGAAAGCGGTATTTCTTTTCCTGTTTTAAAAGTGTGGACAGAGATTAATATATAGGGATTTGGGAATAATTAGGCACTGAAAGTACAGAAGAAGAAAACAAATCTCATTAATGTATCGTAATGCATATGGCCCTGGCTAACTGTTCTCACATTGTATTTATATACACAAATTTAATGTATGTGTAATGAAGTGCAGGAAGTACATATTGGAAATAATGTTTTAAATGATTACTATCTTTATTCCACTATGTGACTCTTTCCGTATTTGCAAAGTGAATGCAAAGTTGAAAATTTGAAAATTTTGTGAACCTTGTTAAGGACACAAGTGAGAAGAAATTAACAGCTCAAACTTTGTAGCAAGCAAAAGGCAAACCTCCCTGTGCTCCCTAGCAAATGCATCCCACTGCAGCCTTGCCAGCCTGGATGTTGACCTGGTCCCAAATGCCTCTTTGGTCAGATTGCTGCAGAGCAGAAGGAAAACTCTGTTCACCTCCAAGCCTGGCAAATACAGGAGCTTCTGACTACAACAGAAAGACAGGCATAGGCCTGTGCCCAGGAAACTCAGGATAAAAGAGAACAAACTCCTAATTGCTCGGTAGCACAGACAGAGAGGAAAAGAGAAGATGATGTTGGGATGCTCTCACCTGGCCAAGCTTCTAAAACACTTCAGTGCGTAAAGGTTTTTTGTTCTGAAATGCTTCTGTGTTCCACAGACGTACAGTATACAAAACTACCTCAAGCTGTGCCCCTGAAGGTAGTATGATCTTCATAGCAGCGCGACTCACTACCAGCTTTTAATTTCCTGCAATCTTCATTTAATTGATCCTTTACTTTCAAAATATATACTGTTTATTGCTGGAGGGGGGATGGGGATGGGAGGGGGATATTCTAGCTCATAAATCACTAGAAAAAAAAGATCTGTGCAGGCCACAAAGCCAAACAAATCAATGAAATCTAAAGAAACTTAACTCATTTTGTACCTAGTAAGTAACCAAGCCTTCCTTTACCTAGGAAACCAACACTTTGCTGTCATGGTGAAATCTCATTTTTTATTTTGAAACACAAATTCTTCTGGTGAAAAGTAGTATTTCTGCACTTGAATATATAAGCTAAATAACCAATGTCAGGAGGGACTTCAGAAAACATCAGTGGTTTTGAGTGTTAGAAGCCTAAGATGTGTAACAGTATCTAGTAACAGTAGTTAAAAAGTAACTTTAAGACCCACCAAGGCATCCAGCATGCCCTAATTTAAGGGATATTTGCAATAGTGAACCTTAATGGGTGGAATAGTTGGAGCAGAACTGTTTACAGTTGTAGAAGACCAAAAAGAAGTGCAGTGAAATAAATACTATGCCCTGTGTACTGTCATTTATCTGCCAGACTTCAAAATAAGAAACAATAAAATCCTAGTGACATGACACGATTTAGTCCTTCACAAGGGGATTTCCCAGCCCCAGAGAAAAGGGGATGCCTCCTATGACCTCGCCCTATCACAACAAAGATTTCAGTAATGTAGGGACTTGAAGTTGGGACTTGGAACAGAAAATGGAGGGAAACTTTCATTTCTGCTACTTTATGGGAGGGCAAGGTGCGGTTCTGTATGTGGAAGCTGCATAACTTGAGCTAATAATTTTTCTGAGAAATCCTTTCAAAGAGCACTCTTGCCCTACCTATTGTGCTACATATTGTGTCTTCTGATCTCTTCAGCATCATTTAAGCATTAGCTTCCTGACATACATGTACTTCCTTGTGTTTTAAAATCCATTTCAGCTTCCTCTAGCCATCTCTTGTCTCGGTTGTTTTTGTTTTTATCTTGTCTCTCTGTCGAGAAAGTTTGGATATCAGAATCTTCGCTTTCTGTGCTGCCTTCTCACAATGGGAATAGAGAAACAGATCATCTCTTGGGTCAGTGTCTGAGAAGACTGCAGCTGGGGACTTATTTTCTTCCTACTATGTTATTATGTCAGGAGAACAGGGAGCAGCAGCTTTGCTACCAATGTGAAAGTGTAAGATGGAAATGAAGCTGCTAATTAATAGGAGTAATTAAAACTATCCTCAGCTTACCAATTCCTTTTAAGTGAAGTTCTTCACGGCTCTGCCTTCTATTTTTAAAACACTTTCTTAGCCTGTATGCTACATTTGGGGTCCTACGAGAGGCTGTTTCAGAAGCGACAGGATGAGTGTACTCACGTTTATAAAACTAACGTTCAGCTCTTTGGCGGTGTATCCCCGTTGGAGGTTGCGTCGGGCATAGACGTCGTAGTCCCGGACGATCCTTGTGATGATATCTGACGTGGAGATGCCCTCAGTTCTCTGCGTCGGTACGAACATCCCTGAGCAAAGTGGGAAAAGAAAGCCAGCTGGGAAAGCACAGGCAGGACCGGGCACTGTGGCAGGTAGCTGAGAATGGATACAAAAACGCCTAACCATAGTCAAGACATTTGCAATTCTGGCCATCTTACTCCTAGCTTATTTTCTCTCCCTCACGTGTGAGCTTAGAGAAGGCACTAGGTTGCTACGTGGTTCGTTTTCCCTCAGCCTGCAGAAAGGCTAAAATGTGCACGGTGTCAGCTGTGATGCAGGAAGCCAGACCAGCTCCTGAGCCAGCCCCTATTTAACCTTATCTAAAAGGCTGGGGGGAGCAGTTGGCCTCCACTCACGCTACTGAAAGGCTGTTTGGGCTCTCCAGCATATTGCCACTCTCCACTCCATTTCTGTGTTGCACCATCTGACAGGCTTTGTTCTGCTGAGTGGTAAAACAAACCACTGGCCAAAGCCACGGAGCACCTTCAGGTAGAAGATGTATACTCTGCACTACAGGAAAAGGAAAACACCCAGGAAATGCTGGTAGCTTGTAACAGGCACAGGGCAAGTAATGGTGGTGTGAGCAAACATGGGTATACACACTGTGGGGACTGAGGCCATCAGCCTCAACAGCCCATTTCATGTACACCTGGCCACGTCAAGGGGTTGGATAATCACTCTCCCTTTCCAACTAATTAAATTGGCAATTTATTAATACTGCTTGATTTTCCTCAACGCAGCTGAGCAATATGTTGCTCCTCTTCAAGGCAGGCTCACTTAACCTGTTAAAGCAAGTCACAAAGGCAATAATATTAGAATACTAGCTCACCTTGCTTTAGTAGTTATTTAGGGCTACCAAAATTACTGCTATCACTTACATGTAATTGCAAAATTAAACTGCTGATGAGAGAGAGATAAGTTAAGACTTAAGATTTTGAAAAAAAAAAAAAAAGTGCCTTGCCTTAAAAGGATGCTATAGCTATTGACAAATCAGTCTTCACACATTCACTGGAAGTAGGCAGGCACTGCTAGCCAATTTCACAGGGTTAGAAAAAGAACTGGTGAAAGAATCAAGAAATTTAGCAGCCTCCTGCGACTAAATGATAAGTGATACCTTCTCTTTATGATCTCTAATTACTATTCTGCTCAAAAATAGATTGTTTTAATCATGAGCAGAGAGGGTTCCCTGTTCCCTGATCACGCTTTTCAGGCATGCAGTAGTCACTCAGGAAACTATTTTTGGAACCCACTTTAAGCCAAAAACCTTTATCGACAGGAGCTACAAGAATTCATTAAGAAAACCCAAGCCCTACCCTTGCTAAGCCAAGTGCTGAATTGTTTTCCAGTAAGTGGACAAAGCCACATGTGAGAACATCACCTTTAGTCACTGATTTTGCTTTCATTGGCTCCATGTGTTAGACTGATTGATGTTTTCAAACCTAATTGTTTACAAATGTACAGAGGTTTAGGCAGCACACCACTGCACAGCTCCCAGTTGTCCATATGCTCTCCCACCCATTGACTAGATACAGGGAACTAGTAGTGCATGGGAATCTACACAAAGAGCTCCAGATTTACCATTTGCTTTTCTGCTTGCTAACTACTCAGTGTGGGAAAATGAGAGCAATGGAACTGAGGAAAAAGCACAAATGCATCCACAGCATTGGTCTATTTAAAACAAAATACCCTACAGGAAATTCATTACTGTCATAATATTGTTCTGGAGTGTCAGGACTACTGTCACTCGAACTTGAAACCCTTCACAAGTTACATTATTCCCATTTTACATCTAACAAATTTCAGTCAGATAAGGTTGAAGCACTTCTCCAGCATCCTGCAGTGACAGACAGGACAGAACACGTCTCTGAAGCTGTAAGTTCATGTTTTGTTGTGCAAAGTTTGAGTTCCTCATAAGGATGCACACGCATTAGACCCATTCCTAACAACAGCAGAGGAAGATGTGCCAGGTTTGGGCACGCTCCAGCTCAGTTTGATAACAACAGAGTGACACCAAGGGCGCCTGTTCTGTTGTACTGTTAGCTCGGCACCTTATAGGTCTAAGTCAAAATAGCTTCCCAGCCAGCACGCATTCTGTGTGTCCCTCGGTGACCTGTCCTTACCAGAGGTCTGTTGTCCCATTGCCTAGTAAAGGAAGCTGGTGCTGGCTCTGAAGCTGTAGCAAAAGCAGTTCCCAAAGGAGGGTTGTGAGTCTGACACTACAGTGATGTCTGCGTTTGGAAAACGATCAAGAACTGCTGCTATAAAAAGCTTATGCTTTTAGCTTGGGTCAATACCTGGCCTTCTGCTGTCATCGTATAGCTTGGGAATGTCACTTTGCACCGCAAACTATCAGCAGGCAGATTTGCTCTGGAATTCTTTTAAGCGCCCAAAACACATTCTTGTAGACCTGGAAGAGGATGGATTCCCCCGTGGTCAAAGCAGCACCTCCACGGAGCAGTGGAAGAAAGGAATGACCAGTTCCTAATCCCACACTGGTCACTGTGCTGGGATAGCTGCTGCCTGCAAATGTGGCTAAACATGGTCTCCTCAGATTTAATTCAGCTTCCATGAACCAAAGAGAGACAAACTCCTGATGACTTCAGCATGTTCACATTCAGTGTTAATACTGTAGTCAACCAAATAGCTAACTGGTCATGCCAATTAATTACTCTGGCACTCATTTAAACCATCTGCCAGTGTAGTGAAAAGAACCCTCAGTGCAAATCACAAGTGGATCCTAATGACTCCTGAAGGCTGATGGTGTGCCTTCCCGTAATAAAGGCTGTTCTGTGTCAAGGAGTCATCAGTTTGTGGTTACCAACAACTGCAATTGGCTGGGCTGCTGTGGGAACTGAACTCATTTTTATTAGTTCTTAGTTGAACAACCTAAAATCATTTAAATTAAAAAAAAAAAAAAGATGAAAAGATGGGGCCGCTTTTTGATAGACTTGAATGGTTTCCTGGGGGTTATGGCAAGAATTCAGCCAAGGACATTGTGATTTTGCAAAGTGAATCTTTCTGCTGATGCCAGCAATACCTACTGTGAGGGTGTACGAGAATGCAGTATTATCTCTGCTGCTTCTTTCTCAGCAGTTGTGGTCAAAAGGCAGTAAAAGAGTTTGAGCCAAGGCTGAAAAGAAAGGTGCTAGTAGTGTGAAGCTGCCCTTACCTGCCTCCTTTATGTGCTTGTATACATCATCTGAGCCAGCGGAGGAGTACGGGATGTCATCGTGGGCTACAAAGTCAATCTGCCAGTGAACAGAAGAAGAATCACATGCCACCATCACTGAATTTTGGTTCAATGAGGGGTCGTTGTGGAGGATCAACTCTTTTCTTGACTTCAGCTGACTTGCTTTTGACTTTCTCATCCTAAAGCCATCACCTAGAATATTGCACTAGATTTAGGCCTAAAACTACTATGTTCTGTGATCAGTTAGGAAAGTACACAATGCTTGTCTCCAGAAGCATTGTCATTAACGCACTGTCTGCCTTTTAGAGGACACGCTGTATTTTTATGTATTCCTGGCCAATTATTGCACCTGTTGACATTAATGGGAAATGTGCCTTTAATCCAGGACTTTAGTAGGGCTTCGGTCATGACAGGATAACTTTACTGATCTCCTCATGATCTCCTTTCCTGAATGTCAATTTACGGATGACTCTTTAGTGCTGTTTTGCCATTCAGAAACCATCCCGGCATTCCGAGAAATCACCCCAGCACACTGAGAAAAAAACAGCAAGAGAAATACAGCCTTTTCTGACAAAGGCTAAGGCAAGCAATGCAGCATAACTGATTTCAGTGACTGGAGCTAACTGAATTAAATAATTTACTCCAGCTGATACAGGTTCACAGGCTTGCTGTTATCTTCAACTGTCCGTCTATACAGGGGAGGGAGGGATAAGGGAGGAACGCACCTTATGTTTTTCAAGAAACTCCGGTGTCAGCGTCCAGGGTGCATCTCTGATGACCTCATCCACATAGCGACAGTGCCTGAGGGCTTCGTATCTCTCAGTTTCATTCATCACAGTGAAGCCTTTGAACTTATGAGTTAAATCATCACTGCAAACTAAAATATAGAAGTATCAACAAAATGGCTCCACGCGCAGCAGAAATTGCTTGACCAGCCATTTATTATTTCCTGATAATTGCATTAAGCACTTGGTTATTACAGTTTTCGGCAGCTCCAGGGCATCTAAGAATTGAGTTCTGCTCAGAGTTGGCAGGTACAACCAGAGATTTATGGCAGCTCCTTCCCTTCTAAACTGCAGTCAGAGCCTGAGTGAGATACTGCAGGACATCTCAAGGGGTGCTGTACATGCACACTGAGGCAAGTGAATCCCACTACAAGGGGGGATTTTGGACAACGTTTTAAAAATAAACAGAAAGTGCAGTGTCAGCAACCACACAGTGCTGACAAACCTCATGTATCACAAAATGGTTGAGGCAGGAAGGTACCAGGACATCCCCCTCCTCACAGCTGGGTCAACTACAACAGGTTTCTCAGGGCCACGTCCCAGAGACGGAGACCCCACAGCATTTCTGGGTGTCCTGTTCCAGCGTTCAACCACCTGCACAGTAAAAATGTTTGCTCTTACACGAACAAAGTTCTAAATGATTAATTTGCCTACACAGCTCTAAATCATAGCAGAAAAGTTTCTCACTAAATAAACGCTGATAGAAAGTAAGCCGTGGCAGTTTTTATAGGAGTCTGTCTCTGAATTTAGTTTTGAGTTCAGCAGATTTCATAGAAAGAGAAGTAAGGCTTGTGCCACGATCAAATGAGAAATTGCAGAAGGAAACCTCATGGAAAGGACTGGAAGACGCTATGATGTGCTCTCGTGCAAAGAACAGAGTTAAAAGCCCAGGAATCCTGCATCTTTAACTCTGGATGTACCAATACCATATAACATATTGCTTTTAAATTGAGAGGGAGGCAATGTCTGCATTACTGGGGGACTATAAAAGCTGGCTGTTATCCTTCTACCCACATAATGTTGCAGGAGAGGCAGTGGCCTGTCCCTGGAGCTCTAACTGTCTGGCATTACAGCTACAATAGCCATTTGATGCCCCAGGTGGAATAGTTTGATACCATCACCACAGGTCGAACCCACGCCTTTGGGTCTCACTTTTCTGCGACACCTGGACAAACGGTAAATGTGCTTGACAAATGATAAATGCAACATTATTAGTGCTGCAGGAGGGTGTGATAGCAGCCCTGCAGCTGCTGCTTCTTTCTAATTTGAAAACATCAACCTATCAGACAAGGCTCTGACAAAGGCGCAGCCTCTTTTGAGATCTAAAATGGATGTTCTTGCTGTGATGGTAATGAAGGGCCTTTAAAGCAGGAAAAATGTAGGAGGGTTTAGATAGCCCTGGAGTTTGTGCAAAATTCAGTCAGGTAATAATATATATGTATTTCAGCTAGCTAAATGCTACTCTATCCTATTATGTCATTTTTGATGCCTGCTGACAAGAAATTTAATGGAGATCAAAGCATTTGCAGTAGAAACATCCCTTCTGAGATTGTATTTATATTTCTTTACACACTTTATATCATCCTAAAGCTACCCTCCTCTGGAAGAAAGGGTCTGCTAAAATTATTGGAAAACAGTAATTTTTGCTTGAATTCTGTAGAAAGGTTTGATTTTGATCTTTGATTACTATTTATTCATGTACAGTGCAGACACAATATGTCTGTATTTCCTTTTGATCCTGTCATCCTGCTCTAATGACTGACTTGAGAAGGTACAAAAAAAAACTTAGCTCCAAATAATTATTTTCACAATAAGAAATAAAAGGGATTGGTTGTGGTGCCAACCAACATGTATGACACCAGTGCTTTTGCAGCACAAATTGTATGTGGGTGTGGAAAAATGCCCATTTTATAAACATGCTAAGATACGGTGCATTGCTGGGAAAAGGTATTGATGAGTGCTGGCTGCTTTGTCCTTCACTCCAAAAATAAAGGACAAAGTGGAGCTGTGCCAGGAAATTCAAAGGAGCTAGACTTTTGCCCCAAAGCTCCTTCCCAGATCCATGACACCATGACTCCACTCCCCTCCCTTTAAAAATAAGAACAAAATCTATATAACCATCATTTTTTTTAAGCCTCATTCATTTGCACCTCCATATGCTTCTTCTGCAAGATACCTGTCTCCGGAGAGAACAGGAGTCCTAAATTTTTCCTTCACAACAAGGGGATGTTGTTTCCCTCCCAGAAAGCTCCATCTGAATTGCCACCATTCATAAACTTAACAGTAAAATGTAAGATTGTGTTTATGCAGAGATTTTGCCTTTTTTCTGTGTTAGGTCTTTTTTGCCTTCCTTTTAACTGATTTGGGACAAAAACACAAAATCATGTATTTGTAAAGTGTCTGAAGGTTGCGTTCACATTCTCTATATCATCATTTCTGTAAGCGTTTGAGAAGCAGCTGAATGTTGCTGTGCAATGTTTATGAGAGACCTATCTCAAACCCAAAGGTGCAGGGAAGTTGGAACTGAAATGCATGTTCATGAGGCCTCACGAGAGCAGCGTGTGCACAGCCAGCTAAGCAGGAAACAGTCACTCTCCCTCCGGTGACTTCTCTGGCATATACCAACTGCTGAGCATCTGTTAGCAAGCTGCACAGCAAAAAAGAAGATAGTTGTGGAAAAAAATAAATATGAAAAGAAAGTAACCTGCCTGGGGACACTTATAAGCTGAAAAATATGTTCAAATCATAACCTACATTTAGGTCTCCAATGATAATGGTCTGAATTTAGCTCCTCTGCTGATGTTGAAGGTTGGGCCTGCAGACACAGTACTGACCCAGCAGCCAGGGGACGTGGGCTGTGTCTGACTGGCAGAAGGACTGAAGAGCCAGAAATAAATGAGTGGTTGATCTCATTCACTCATCTCCATCTTTGAACAATTTTGAGTGAATAACTGAAAAAGGTAAATTATTCATATGGAGCTATTCTAAGCTCAGAGTCATGCAGGCACCTGCTTTAACTAGAATGGGAATTGTGCCTGTGCTGCTGAGGGCAGAATTTGACTTTTACTTTAATTGATTCAATTATAAGACATAAGTCAAGGCAAATCGCCTATAGAAAGCCCCCAGAGTGAAAGCAGCATTCAAAGTCATAGTGTATAACCAGCTGGGGGTGAGAGCACAGCAATAACGCTTATGCTGAAGCATAGAAACAAAACTCCAGTGCAAGAAATAACTCTGATCTTACCTCCTACTAATAAGTAGCTATTTGGGAATAGAGTTTTGGCTTGCATAAGAGCTCTAGCATGGCCAGAGTGGAAGAGGTCAAATATCCCATCTGCATACACTCTGACAGGTCTGTCAACTGTAAGGAAAGAAACACAATAGTGATTTTCCAGACCCAAAACAAGTTGCACTTAATTCTACTGGACAAGTTTTTGTTCCCAGATAAGATCACTGTGGAGATTTACCCCCGTTCTGATATTCAAAATACACTGTGGGTGAACTTCCAGTGTTTTATGCTGCTTATAACTTCTCCTTCTCTGTGCTCTCTGCTGTTTTCTCTCAGACTTAGCCTATTTATTATCATCGATCATCCCTGTATTTTAATTTAGAAAAAATGTCATCTTCCTGTCTCATTCAGAGTTCCACCATATGTCTCATTCTTTTCCCTCTGCTTTTCTAGTTAGTTCTGCCTTCTGGATTTTTTGAAATTTTTCCTTTTTTTTTTCCTATCACCTCACTTCTCCACTCTGGTCTGTGTCTTTCTTTTTCTCCACAGCCTCCACATAAACACTTCATTACCCTTTTTTAATACTTCCCAAGATCTCTTTTTCTCATCAATGAGTCTATCTTTTTTTTTTCACCATCCACCTGCTGTCACCCTTGTAACTCTTTCTTTCTGCATGAAATTTTCAGCAGCAGTCTTCAGACAGAAAAGGTAAAACTTGCTTTACCAAATGACAGACCTGATAACGGTGTGTAGCGGGTTTATGTGGCAAGGTTTTTGTAGTGGAGGCTGCAGGGGTGGCCTCTGTGAGAAGAAACCAGAAACTGCCCCATGTCAGATAAGGGCCCGTTTCAGACAGCTCCAAAGGGATCCACTGCTGGCCAGAGCAGAGCCAGTAAGTGATGTTGTTTGTGCCTCTGTGAGAGCAGATTTAAGAAAGGGGAAAAAAAACCTGCCGTGCAGCTGGGAGAGAGGAGTGGGAAGCAGCCCTGCAGCCCCCAGGTGAGTGCAGCAGGAGGTGCTCCAGACAGGCAGCAGCAGTTCCCCTGTGGCCTGTGGAGAGGCCCCTGGTGGAGCAGGCTGTCCCCCTGCAGCCCATGGGTCCCACATGGAGCAGATCTCCACGCTGCAGCCCCCCCATGGGTGGAGGAGCCCCCGGTGGAGCAGGTGGATGTGGCCTGGAGGAGGCTGCGACCCATGGAGAGCCCCCGTAGGAGCAGGCCCCGGGCCGGAGCTGCAGCCCCTGGAGAGGAGCCCACACAGGAGCAGGGAGCTGGGGGGAGCTGCTGCATGTGGGGGACCCATGCTGGAGCAGTTTGCTCCTGGGGGATGGATGGACCCTGTAGTGACCATGAAGGAGCAGCAGAGACGAAGCATCAGGGACTGACCACAGCTGCCATCCCCAGTTCCCCTGCACCACCTGGGGGGCGGACACAGAAGAGCGTGGACGGAGGGGAAGGTGTTTTTAATTTGCTTTAAGTTTCTCACTGCTATAGCTTGGTAGTAAGAGTTAAATAAATTTTACTGATCTCCTTATGCTGAGTCTGTTTTGCCCATTATGATAAACAGTGAGTGCTCTCCCTGTCCTTATCTCAACCCTTGAGCCTTCTTCACATTTTCTCCCCCTTTTCCTTTGAGCAGGGGGAGTGAGAGAGCTGTCATGGTGGAGCTCAGCTGCTCAGATGAGTAAAACCACCACAGTGCCACAGAATAGCCACCTCCAAGCAAAAGGACAGCAGAGATGATAACAACAAAGATCCAACATTCACGGACTGTACTTCACGTATTCGGGACTTTCTGTGAAATCATTCTGTTCCCCGATCACAGAGGTAAGTCTGGCAAAAATGTCTAGACAGAGTTCAGAAATTGGACATGGTTTCTTTGCAAAGGGCAAATGGCCTTTAAGGCCACTTAACGTCTGATGTGGTCAACAAGAACACGAGTGAAAGAAGACATTTTCCAACATACATAGGCAGCATGTGAAGAATCCCCAAAGTAGCCATTAATCAACACAATTTTTAGGCTGTCTGGAGCAGGCTGGCAAGCCTTCCTTTTGACCAACATGCAGACACCCATGAAACATCAAACTCTAACTTGAAACATTTCCCCTCGTTGTTTCTCCAGCTGAAGACAACGGTCCTCTAGTTACTTGTTCCTCCCCATTAGCTAATAGCACCAGATACCAGGCTGGCCTTTCTGCTTCCAAACGGAAGGCAAAAGTGAGTATTGATACAGGGCTGTAAGGGAGAGCCTGTGCTTTGGGAGTGCCCATGGTCCTGCTGATGTAGCTCTCCACACATACCTGGCGTTCCCAGGCGGGCTTGTGCAATGGTTAGCTTCTCGTGGGGTGCTCGGCACTGACAGCTCGTTTCATCTGCAAATGGGGCAGGTGCCGTCAGAGTCTGGAAGGGGGGGAAAACACAAGGTCAATTTGTTTTTCCATCGAATAGTTAAAAAAGAACCGTTTAACTGTGTTGTAACCAGGCTTAATGCTGGCTTGTTCCATGGGGACTTTTGCTTTCTGGTCACCCTTCAGCATATACAATTCATACAGTATGAAATATGACGACAATATGGCTTTCTGAATACAACCCAATTCATTGCCTGTCTTGAGAAGCTCAAGCAATGTGAATTGAGAGCAGGTACATACTTGCTCTGTTTGCAGGACAAAGTCAAGTCTGATGGTTATTTGTCCAAGCAACGTAATCCTTGCTTTGGTCTCAACAAGTCCAAAGGCCCAAGATGCAAGATGTATCCTCCTATGTGGAAATCACAGCTGGAAAAACTAATCGGGATTTACAATGCTATAAACAGGCCATCTCCTCACACGCACCAGTTCTTCCACTGACAAAACATCAGGACAGATGACTGGGACCACAAGCTGTTTTATTGTGTTTTTAATCGGAACCTTAGGCAATTTTGAGGAGCCGTTCAAGATAAAGCCAAGACCGCAACCAGAAGTCCCACCTAGCTAAAGCAAGCTGAGCTGCAATTCCTTTCTCTACTCCGACATGTACTGTAACAGTACTAAAATGCTCTGCGATCAGAGCACCACGAGGGTCCTTGCTCTGAAGAGCTTATAACCTAAAGATATTACAGAAAGAGTGAGGACGTGTGAAGAATGACGTGGTATTATCTGTCAGGAAACCTGGCTACAGTCATTACTTTTTCTGCCCATGCCTCTGTAGGAAGTTATCAGCAATAAGAATCTCAGATATTTATTATCTGCCATATGGTCTGATATGAAAAAAAAAAAAAAGCTTCTCCTGCTCTAGGCTTGAAATCTTTATGGAATCACAGAAACAAGCTATCATTAGCTGAGATTTGGGCTGCTTTGTTTTTGAGAAATGAGGTGGTGATTAAGACAAGCCAAGGGAAATGTTTCACTTACTTTGCCTCCACCATGATACAGCTGGGACCTCGTGACCTTGCACCAGTGGTTTGGCTTGGTTTTGACAGTCACCATTTATATAAGACACATTTGTCATTATCAGTTTGTGCACCCAGGGTTGATAGTAACAGAATCTCTCTTCCCTCTTATTTAACACTTCTTCAGCTTTCAGATGCTGAACACTTGATCACCAAGCATTTATTTTCTTTAGCATCCCTGAGACATGTTAACCCAAAGACACGTATTGCCTAATTGCTGCTGACCTCTGGGCTCACTGGCTTGTTGCACGGTAAGCTCAGAGAATAGTATTAAAACAACAGCAAAAAGCGACCTCTGAGATTCACTGCCAGCTCTTTCTGCTTTGGGATTTACTAGTCAGTCTGTTCCCCAAAAGCACTCAACCTTTATATATAATTCTTTTATTTTTCTTCGATTTTTCCTGCCTTTCTTTGCAAGCTCAAGTGCTACAGGAAATCATCCAAGGTAACTTTAATACATTAGTGCTGAAAATCACAGCTTCTCCGCACAGACAAGGCTAAAATTGAGAATCCACGGCAAGCTCCACATCTCTGCTTGGGCTTCACGGGAGGGAAGTGTTTGGCTGGCCACCCACATAGCACAGCGTCGAGCATTGCACATAATCATACAGTGCGAGCTCCTTTCTTTATTTTCTAAATACCGTCTTTTTGCTTCTGTCTTTGTGATCCCTGAGTGCTAACCTGTCTTTTTATCTCCAAGCAAGGTCAAGTTACACAACAGCCCGCACCACCTGGTTCACGCTGGGATAAAGAGGAAGGCAGAAATGTTAAAACAATAATGGCTGTGGTCTGGGGCCTGCAACTGGTAATCAGATCCTAGCTTGGTAGAGGCTGTTGCCTTGGAGATTATTTGAAGAAAATAGGCCTGGTTTGCAGCAAGATTTTTTTTTTTTTTGACTAGGCAAACACTGTAGTGCTTTTTGTCCACGTAAACGCCTGTGCAACACCAAGATTTTCCTTGTGGTCCCCATTAAATGGAGAACTACCACTGTTAGCTTCCCCTCGATCCCGTTTTTGTAAACACTCATCATTACCGCTCACTTTACGGCCAAGGGCTTAGAGCCACACTCGTCAATATTTCCGCTGCTCTCTGGCCTCTCAGTCACTGGATATTGAAATGCATTACACACGGTAAATTAAAATCAGCCAAGTTCTGTCAACGAGAGAATGCGTAGACGGAGAAATACATAACTGTGGTGTGCTGACGGATCAAGTGAAACACAGCAATAGCTCCCAATTGGTACATCCAATATTATTTCATTGTCTCTGGCCCAGAAAAGTTGCCGCAGAGCTTAACAAAAACGTCTGGTGAGTAAAATATTACAAGATTGGTTTGTCTACCAGAGCATAAGACAAAATATTTCAAGAAATGATCAAAACCCAGAAATCATTTATCAAACATCTTTCTGCCTTGATATAATTACTCATATTCTTTCCAGTTTCTTATCAGTAATAACTAGAATTGGGTGAAGAGAGCAAGTAATCCATATCGCAGCCTTTTCATTTCGGTTAATCCATTAAAGTACCGTTAGAAGTTTGCTATAGTTCTGCCAATAATCAGATGGGTAGACAAAGACTTTGTGCAAATGTCCTTCTGTCTTCATCTGACAGACTTTTCCCTTCATCTGTGCCTTTATGATTTTCTGGACACTTACATTTTGTGACCAGCCAAGCAAGCCAAATCACCCTTGCATTTTGGACCAAAGTAGGCTTCTGAGACCTGCATCACCCTGTAGCATGATTCTGCGATGCAGGGTGCTCTACAGCCTCAGTGTGAGTTCAGTGATGAATTATCTCATTTTGATTGCTCAGCACCTGCCTCTTGCTTGGATTATTTGATATTCTTGCACTGGAAGCTTTAGCAAATTCTCCCACAGTCACCTATTCCCCATCTTTCACCATTTCACAGTCCTCTCTCTTTTCTCCCCTCAGTCACTTTTTTCCATGCTGAAGAATGCCTCGGAGCTTCATCAGCACACAGTAACATCTTGCATTCCCCAGATACATGAGTCAGTAAGAGCAGAGTGCAGTGTGGTAGGCAGCACCCCCCAGCTGAGCTGGTTCTGTGGCCAGGACACTTTACAAAGAAATCCTATATGACGGATGGAAGTAGCTCATTTTCAGGTGTATCTTGATGCTGCCTTTTTATTATCCCTCCTCACAGCCTCTCAGGCTACTGTAACCATTTAACTTAGCTGCAATTCAGCAATATAAATATTAAAAGCTTATGTTCCCAAAGAAAGTGGAAGGTGTTTTGTAGAGGAACAGGAGTCAAACCACTGAAATGACACTTAAAAAGCACGAGCACCTTCACGCCTTCTTTTGTTTGCAGTCTGTAATAGGAACAACTAGTTGTGTTTCTTTGTTTTCTGTATTTTGTTTTCTTTTAACACAGCAACAAGACAGAAATATTTTTGAGAAGGGGCAAACATAGACCCATCTACGTAATACTGCACCTGCCATTATAGTTCTGCCTGCAGGGTAATTGCATGCAACATGTGCTAATAGAAGGAGCTACTTTTTTATTTATTTGATTAAGACAGCTACACTATCTTGTTCACCACACAACAAAAACAGGCAAAAAGGTCATTCTCTGGATGGAGAGCACAGCTATACATCATCGAAGGTTTTGCCAGTAACACTTCAGATCTTGAACCAGTACAGCTATCCAGGCAAAGTTTTGTAGGGCTTGTGCTTATAAAATAATTAAACCGGCAGGCAAATGCTGTGGGAGGTATGATGCTGTAATCTCCTCTCGTCTGCGAGGCAGTATTTAAAACAGATAACTGATTTCACTGGAACAAATCACGTGGGGAAGGTCTACTCATATGAGGAAAGATTATTTTGGGAACCTGCTCCTGATGTTGGCAAACAGTAATTACAGAGCAGGAAACGCTGACATCAGTTTTAAGGAGCATTTGTTAAGAGCAAAATGCTACTGAAACTCTTTAAAGGGAACCAAAAATGCCTGCTGAGTTTCTGAAGCACGAACACCCTTTGCAAGTGGAAACACTCTCTGAAGGACTACCCAGGTCTTCTTAGAGGTTCGGGAGTGAACGGTATGAGAAATGAAAATCCCACTGTCTGATGGATTTGTGACCTTTAGTAACTTTGGTCCAAACAGGTAAATTTATGAGCAAGGAAGTTGCAATTGAATGTTATCAGTGGGTGCCTCAAGGTAAACTTCTCACAGATGAACAGTTCCAGTATGAACCCATGAAACAGAAGAAAACTTGGCTTGTTCTCCAACAGCTCTGCTGACTCTGAGAGGTGGATGTAACAAAAAATAGAGCAAAGAAAGCATACATAAAACTTCAGGTTTAATACAGGCAAGGCTTAATCTCCTGAAATCACTCAAGCTATAGCTGAGATACTGGGAGAACTTGGCCCAATTTCAATCCCTGCTTGCGCTTCTACATAAAGATACTTTATCAATTATTTCAAGTCAGATGTATTGTAGCTCTTTCATATAAATCATCACTCAAAATAGTGCTATGTTGGGAAAAAAAAAAAAAAAAAAAGACTAAAAGACTTTTCCCCCAGCACAAGGCAAGTATTCTCCGCAGTTCCCCAGCTGGAACACAAAAACATCCTGGGATGAGCTACGTTCCTGCAGGAAGCGCAGTGCACTTCTGTAACAGATCTCTGATGTATCCCATGCCTTTCACAAGAGCTTTTTCACTGTAAGCCTTCTGTCTGTGTGTGCGTAGGGAAGGAAGGCAGATTACCTGGGAACAAATGTGTAAGCGCACAGTTCCAGCTGCCCTGGCACAGGACTCTAGATGTGTGGCTATACACTACATGCAATTCCTGTATCTGTAGTGTTGGCTTTCTTCTTACATTTCTTACATATGTTATGTTATAATTTGAATACATTTTGGGGGAGAGAGCAGAGAAACCATTCACATTGGTTTTCTACTTGAAGATACGATACAAACCTTCATAGTAGCAACAACAACACAGCTTATAGAACTTGGTAACATTCTGCTAATAAAGCTGTTTCTAAAATAGTATCAAAGATATGTATTTGCAAGCAAGGAATACAATGCACAAAGTGTACTGCTTGCTCCCTGTGTTTACAGGTCATCCGTGAATCCTGAAAAAAAGCACATCTGTAGGTTTGTGACCTGACCAATACAGGTCGCAATGTGTTTTTGCAGAGACTATAGCATTTTGGAGTGTGTACTGATGAGATGTTCTTTGATGCAGCAAAAGGCACATCACAGCAGATTTCTGGTGCCTACAGGCCATTTTTAAAGTTATTTTTTAAGCATGGCAAAGATTGCTACGTGCTCCCAAGTGTGAACCATATTGGGCATTTTTAAGAGTTTGCACTTTTGTGTAATAGCCAGCATTTACAAAAAGTAAAATTTACCAGAGCAGACACCAAGCTTGTAAAGGAACTAAAAGATATTTGGGCAAATAAAGTCATCCTGGGTTCCTCTAATGTCAGGCTTTTTACTTACATATTTATGCTTAGTTCCAATTTGAAGTAAACAGATGGCAGACCCCCTAAGAATTAACATCAGGTGAGAGAAAACAGACACATGGGACACTTTTGTAAACACAATAAAAGCCCCTAAATTTGGCACTAGCTCCTCTGGTTAAAACTGCATATATCTGTTAGTCATACATGAAAAATAATATGAAGATATATGGCTCATGGAAGTACAATATCTGAAATAATTCCAAAAGGATGCATCAGACCCTGTCAAAACACTGTTTGCAAATAAAAATGAGGTGAGGCATCCAGGGATGAAAATACAAAGAGCCAAGGCACGCAGGTTTTACTTGCAATTATTTCAAATGTTGTGCTTAACATTTCATTGCTTAACAGCAGCAATAAGAAAACTGTCTAGCAGAGTCTAATGACACCTCTATTTCACTGTCATTTCTTAAAAAAAAAATAAAAAAATAAATAGGTAAAGCAGCTGCTACCTAAAATAACATGGAAGCTGTGATCTTCAAGTGTTCCTGCGTCTCATTCTCCAAATCACTGCAATATACTGGCCCCAAGGTATCTGGTGCCTAATTCCTACTGAATCATAACAGTCTGTAGCCTCTGAATCTCGAGACAAGGCAGCAGAAGTAAGCCCAGGTTCGTGAGCAGTTGCTGGGATTGCCAGGGTGAACCTCAAATAGCCCCGATGCTTACAGTGCCTTGGCAGAACATGCTTTATCTGCCATATGGATAGCTCCTAAGTCTCCAGCTAGTCCCGCTGCCTTCACAACGATGATGTTAGGCAGAAAAACCCAGCACAGTACTTCCACACAGGGTGCTGGTGTCTCTGGCTGCACAGGCAAACGGGACCCGGCTTGCTATGGCAGCACGGACATCCCATAGCCGTGACCTTGGGCAGACCGACCCTAAAGTCCTGAGAACAGCTGCTTAATTCCTTCCTGGCCCTGTACCCACCAACATCCCACCCAGCAGCCACAGGCCCGCCAGCCACCCACCTGCCTATGCCCTCTCCTCCCCTGTGGTTCACCTCGGCTAATTCGGGTGCTTTTTGTGCCTAACCTCCCCTGCACGTCGCAGAAAGGCCTTTATTCCTCACTGGGGCGTAACCTCACGTTAGACCAAGGCACAACGAGCTAGGTACTGCCATGGAAACATCCATTTCAGTGTACTTCATTCCCTTAACTGACCTAACTAACCCTAAGGGCCTCAGCCAATTTTGAGAATATTATATTGGCACTCAGGTCCCAGCAGTACTTTCCCAGATCTTCTCACTGAGGCCTATGTTGGATGACAGAGACATGAAACATGAGGAAAAGAAGCTCTCTGTATGTTGAAGGGAAGGACGAGGCCAAGCAGTAGGTTCTGAAGTTTGTTTTCAGGTAAGTTTCGATGTGTATTCGTTTTTGCTTTATTTGCAGCACTGTACTTATAAATTGCCATTGTTTCTTTTTGTGAAAGACACTACCTGGCATAGTCCTGATGAACAACATGGGGTGTTGAAATGTCTGTTTCTTTTCTGCGGGTTGAGGATTAGCAGTTCTCAAGGTGCACACTGACCCTTCAGCGAGCTACCCATGTGGAGGTTTTTATGCAACCGAAGTTAAACTCTTGACCCCAAGGGACTTGCCTTTTTCTTTTCAGAGGGCTTTATACTTCCTCTCTTGTATTTCCTCCTTCGGTATCTCTGCCATCCACTTAGACTAAGGGCCTGCCTCACTTACGGGCCTTTTCAGTATAGGTAGACACAGGCAAACCTTCAGGGGATTCCCACACCGAGATCTGGAGCCTATCAGTGGTCTGCAGCCCTTAAAGTTACGTGGGGGCAACTTCCATATCGTGGATGTATGTCACGATATGACCAGGAGCAACGTTTAAAAACAATGCAGTTAAAATAATGAAGGCCCCTGCGACCGAACCATGGATATTCCAGTGGCTAAGCAGCAGAAGCAATGCTCATTAAAAGAAAAAAAGTGATTGGACAGTGATAGATTGAAAAGTAGCCTAACCCAGCAGTTTGGTCCAGACAAGAAATGGGTAAGCACAGAACTATGCAGACCAGGACTGGTAAAATGCTATCTGTTTTTTCTCTTGACCACAAAACTATTAAAATCACCAGTAGGGACAAAGCTGGAGGCTCTAGTTGACCTGTTTCTCTGTGGTGCACTGAGACTAGGACACATGGGTCACTCTACAAGAGATTTTCCTGGCATCCAAATACATGGACATTGAGAACATAAGGAAGGCAAAGACTGAGTGAAAGGTGGATTGGGGGAACTGACTGAAGCAAGACTGCTCATTAATACCCTAGTCGGTTAAGAAAACCCAAAGAGTGTCTTGGGAAAAAATTAATGGCAATTTATATCACAACAGTACTACACAGTGGAAAACATCAGCCTTCAATACACATTGAAACTTACCTGAGATTTGCCTTCAATGTGCCCTGTTTTCCTGCTCATTGAAGGACACAGGGGTTTTCCTTAGTCCTACTGTGACACTTCCTGCCAAGCTAGCAGACTCCATAGCCTAAAATCAGAGGACCTAGTGACAGATATCCATTAAAAATATTCACAGTTCTAAGGCTTTAAATAAATAACTCCTTTTTCAATGAAGTGGACAACAACTGTTTCAAAAACAAACAAACAAACAAACAAAAAACGATTCCCTTTTTCATCTTTTAAAATGTGGGCTCCTTCGTAAGTTTACTATCCTCTTTTAACACAGAGAGCTTCCTAAATACAAGCATATACTAAGAACTTGGAGGCCCAGATAACTCATTTTAGAGCCGTGTAATAACCAAAGAGAAGCATCAAAAAGTCCTCTGTAAATGCCAGACTGGTATTGCCCTGCGGTACCATCCTGTGGTTCAGCAGAACAGGCCGATACTAAAACGTTAACCGAGACATACAGCTCTTTCAGATATACGGATCAAGTATGTGACTTGTCCAGTGATCCACCACTGAGCATGCTGACTTCAAAGCATTGGGATCAGAAGATGTGCTGAAAATATTTAAAAGCGTCTGATGGGAGCTTTAAGCTCCCACTACTACTCCACATCTGCAGAGCTGTGATTAACTCTTCTGGACACAGCCCTGGATTCTTCCCACTTGAGACACGGCTTTGTTAAGGGGAACTTGACTGCACTTGTCTGCAACATTCCTTACACCCTAACCAAGTCTGGTAGATCCCATTAAACTTCAGTTTATTATTTATTTATTTTCCTGAAGACAATGTATATCTGCTGGCTGACAACTTTATAAGTTGTCACTTTATATATCACTTTATAAGGACACTTTTTCCATAAGTCTTGATTCAGCTGAATGTCTCCGCTGCCCGTTATGAATTTACTGGTACCCATGAAGATCTAAAACACTGTAATGAATCCCTGCTTTACTCGTGTACTCTAGCTGTCACCCTAATTTCCAGAGGAATTATACTGGAATAGGTGATACCATAAATACTGGCATCATGTTGTCACTTCTTCCTTTCAGGTCTTTTAAAGCGTCAGCCTGCGCGGGGTGATGTGTTCAGACGGGCTGCTACACCTCGGCTTTTGACAGAGAAATCCTCGCGTCTACGGACACCCTGCAGGAACAGCACGTGAGCCAACTCCAAACTCCCACTAGGAACCTCCACAAAAGCATCCCTTGAACAAATTACAGACTTTTCTTTAAAGTTCACTCCAATTATACCACTAGCAAGCAGAAAGCGTCAATTTAGGTCAACTCCACCGCGCGCTGCTATTCCTCGCCACGTTAAATGTCTCGACTACCGCGCTGAGCTTAATTACCAAAGTCTGGTTTTTAAGCACGCTTTAATTAGCACCACGACTGAGCCCGGGAGCTGGGCGAGCCGCTTCCCCGTGCCCAAGCTGTTGCACCAGTGGCAGACCTGCACGCCTCGGGGTGTCCGCGGGTCTGGGGGCTGCGTGCAGGTGCCACCTCCACCAAGGGGTGACAGAGGGGTTTGGGGAAACGCCAGAAAGCAGCCGGGTTGTGCTGGGGCAGGGGGCCTTGAGCACCTCAGCCCTTGCGGGGCTGGCACTGTGCCCATGGGGCTGGGGCCTCACTGGGCTCCTCTGCAGGACCACAGCGCATGGGCTGGGCTGGGCTAACCTTCCCTTCCCTTCCCTTCCCTTCCCTTCCCTTCCCTTCCCTCCCTTCCCTTCCCTTCCCTTCCCTTCCCTTCCCTTCCCTTCCCTTCCCTTCCCTTCCTTCCCTTCCTCCCTTCCTCCCTTCCCTTCCCTTCCCTTCCCCTCCTCGTCCCTTCCCCATCCCCGTCCCCTCCCCATGCCTGCCCCATCCCTGCCCCTCCCCACCGCATCCCGTCCCCTCCCCACCTCCCCGCACTGACCAGGCGCGGCTGGGGGCAGGTGTGCTCCAGCTCCTCCATGGCCCCTCCCGGCCGCTCATCCCCGGGGCGTTTCGGGAGGCCGGGCTCTGACTCAGCACCGCGGGCGAGCACGGGCATGGCCGCGGGCAGCGCCCCCCCCCCGCCCCCCGCCCCCTGCCCCGCTCCGCTCCCGCCCCCCCCGCCCGGTCCCGCTCGGGGCCGTCACGCGGGTGCCCGCCCCGGGGGGGGTCTCCCCGGGAGCCTCCCGCGCGTCGCCATGGCAACCGGGCGGATCCCTCCTACCCTCCCCTCCCTCCGCGCCGCGCCGCGCTCATTTGCATGCGGCCTCCTGATTGGCTGGCTGCCGCCGCCGCCACCGCCCCGCGGGCGCCCGCTAGCCGGAGGGGAGGGGCCCCGTGAGGCGAGGAGGGATGGTGGGGGGGGGGGAGCGGCGCGGCTTGTTGAAATAAAAGCAGAAATAAAGAGCCCCAAAACCGACCGAATGGCCCCCAAAATAAAGGAGAGCTGAGCTACGAGGAGCCTCCGTTTCTCAGGGGGCGAGGCGCCCGGCGCACGGGTGCTGAACGGACAGCTCCCGGCCGTTACCGGCTGCGCTCTGCCCGCCCCCTGCTGCTCCGCCCCGAGACGGGGGGATCTGACCCCAAAATGAGTGTTCTGACCAAAATTTGGAGCTCTGGCCCAAAAATGAGTGCTCTGGCCAACGGAGGTGCCCTGATCGAATGCGGTTCTCCACCCCAAAAGGGGAGTTCTCACCCAAAAATGGGTGCTCTGACCCAAAAAGGGTGTTCTGACCCAAAAGGGGTGCCCTGACCAAAGGGATACTTCGCCCCAAAAGAGGGTGATCTGCCCCAAAAGTGGGTGCTCGTTTCCCCAGGACAAATATCTCCCTTGCAGCAGTATTATCAGCTAAGTGGTGCCAGAATCTCAAGGTGGAAGTGGAATACCTCTGTTGTTGCTCACTTCTTTTCCAACTTTGGGAGATATTTTATACTAAAGCTTTCTTGCCTTCCATTTGAAGAGCGTGATCAATAAAATGTTTGGTACCTCATTAATAGAGAGAGTTGAAATAATGGCAAACGCTCTGGTGAGCAGGCAGGGGAAGGCTGTGGGGTCTGTCATGTGCATCCAAATGGACTTTGTCCCAGGCCACCCTGGCTCTGAAGATCTTTGTTAATGTTCTGGTTATAGGTTCTTGGACAAGGCATCCTAAACCACCTCTTCGTCTTGTTGTGGGGGAAAATGGACTTTCAAAAGGCTGGAGGATGTGCTCTTTACCCTCTAAAATAAATAAATAAAAATTAGATTTGACTGGAGAAGCTGCGTGGATGGCCTTCTGGAAACCCTTACCAGCGAGACAACTTTTAGAAGACCAGTGGAGAAAGAGTGATGAGCGGGATGGTTCAGGCATCTAATTTCTTTTATGTAACCAAATATCTTGCATCAGGCTGAGCATGGTCTCTTGGGCATCCTCCTGCCACTTCTTCGGAAGTAAACGGCACATATAGCCACTGCCTTTAACAACAGAGCTCCTGGCAACAACTGCTTGGGCAGATATTCAAATAGACATCTGATGCATAAAAATCCTGTCCCATGGTGCATAAATTGATTTCACATGCAAACGAGCCCAGAAACCATGATCCAATCCCCTTAATGCTAATTCCAAGATCTGAACTGAGTAGACAGCAAACGGAAAATTCTTAATTGCAAGGAAGGTTCCCTCTGAGACGTAGTGGTTGGGGTTTGCTTTTGTTTTGTTTGTTTGTTTGTATGGAATTTCTTTTTGCAAACTGGAAAAATTCATTCTCCAAGTTTGATATATGCATATATATATATATCAAATATTTAGCTGTTACATTTAACCCCCCTCCTTTCTCTAACAAAGTATTATCTCTGTCTGGACTTCTTGTGCAGCTGAACACCATGGAGACAAGTATTCCTGTGCAGACTCCTCTATATTTTCGGGCTGTCATTTTTAAATACCCCCTTGCCTTTTTTTCAGTTTAGTCATTGAAATGCACACAAATGCAACTAAATAAACTTCAGTTCCTTATAGACACCATCACCTATAAAAGCTCTGTCATGCTTTTACCATAGTATGCATATTAAGCTGAATCTAGCAGACGAACACTGATCAGACAACATGGCTGAAATCTGAATTAATGTGTCCACTTCCATTAGAGAGGTTATTCCCCTTTCTCTGATGGCTTAAGATAAGTGATAAACTTACTTCATCGAGCTTACTACGTCAAGGTCATAGCTGTGCTGCTTAATGCATACTAATGGCATCCTTGCCTTAAGGCAAAATCCCTAGAAGAGCAACCTGTACTTGGAAACTGGGAATGAACCCATTAAAGACCTCGAGCTGCTTGAGAAGGGAAACGATGTGCATTATAGTTAACAAGGAATGCTTTCTGCTCTTTAAAGGCTAAAGCAAAGAAATATCCCCATCTTCAGCAAAGTTTGATGACTTACTTCTAAGCCCCTTGCTAACACCGTAGTTTGGCTCAGATGCCCTCAGTGGTCCAGATCTGTTACTGCTGCAGAGAAGTTTGTAAACACTCAGCAAAGTCTCCAGGCTAAGGTCTGCTGTATTAGCAGGCCACTCCATGCTTCTGATGTCCTCTGTAAAAGCAGGGACGGGAATGTATTGCAGCCCCTAGAGAATAGTACCAAGTGTTTGAAGTGCCTCAGTACATAGCAAGCACTAAATACCACAGCAGAAGCTGTATTTAAAATGGTCTGCCCATGAGAGAGGCTGCAAGAGGCTGCTAAGTCTTCTGACTTAGACCTGAGTCATATTACAGAAAAACAGAGCCTCGAGTGTTTCCTGTCCAAAAGTTAGCAGGAAGCCGTGGAAAACTGGGGAGAGGCATGGTTAAATAGGGTCTGAATTCAAAGACAAGCATCTCCAGAAAACATCACAGAATAAATTCCTGAATATTTAACAGATGAGCTGAGTTTTGCTTCAATGTACATTTTTTGGATCCTGAAGGCTTTAATGGCTGTCAGCTGCAAGATTTTGTAAGATGGAGGAATGACTTACGGCTGGAACAGAATACTTAAAATACGATGTTTCTTTCTACCTATCTATCAGTCTCTCTCTGTATACATATATACACACATCTTTATATATAGGTATAAGCAAGTCTCTCTATATATAGACTTATAGATTATACATAAGATGTATAGGCAAGTCTATAGAGAGAGACTTGCTAGAATTAGTAGTCAAAAAAAAAAAAAGAAGAAAAAGATGCCATATTGCTGTGATGATCAATTAGTTAAATCACATATTTTTAGACTGGGATTAAAACCCCACAATTCTGGATTTTTTTCCCCACCTGCATGGACAGAGAATGAAAGGTATCAATTTAAATACACCTACTGGTTTTCACTGCCTCCAACACCATCCCTTTGCTGCTTCCATGCAATTTTATCTGATACTGTAGCTTTAACTCATTGTAAGGTGTAGTTCATCATTCCAGAGGAATGCACAGTGCTTACCAACTATCGCCTTTTTGTTAAAGTAAATTAAATGTACTTCTGATTTATGAGAGTGCCTTACTGAATTGCATATGGATTAAATCCATACTTTTTTTTTTTTTTTTTCTTTTTATATGCAATGATAGCCTATAAATTATTAAGGGTAAAAGCACGGGATTTGGTATAACAAAATCTGGCTCTTTCCACATCTCTGTAGCAGAGGTATGATTTTTAGTAAACACTATATTCTCAAAATGCTTGTACAGAATTAAATTGGACAGTCTTTCAATAATCACAGAATCATGGAACCACAGAATATTCTGAGTAGAAAGGGACCCACAAGGACCATCAAGTCCAACTCCTGGCTCCACACAGGACCACCCGCAAATCAGACCCCTGTGTCTGAGGGCATTGTCCAAACACTCCTTGAACTCCAGCAGGCTCAGTGCTGTGACCACTGCCCTGGGCAGTCTGTCCCAGTTCCCGAGCACCTTCTGGGTGCAGACCCTTTCCCTAACCCCCAGCCTGACCCTCCCCTGTCCCAGCTCCATGCCGTTCCCTCGGGTCCTGTCCCTGTCCCCAGAGAGCAGAGCTCAGCGCCTGCCCCTCCGCTCCCCTCGTGACGAAGCTGTAGGCCACAATAAGATGTTTAAAAAAGAAGGCATGTCAGTTCCAATATGCTTTATAGATAAAACTTCTGAAATCCATAAGTACCTAAAAATAGGGGCTTCTAAAGTGCCATTCATCCATGCCTTATAGCACTATTTTGAATAAGTGGGGCTATCGACTTTGGGGTAGGTTCATTGTGTTCTCACTCTTCTATGAACTGCTTTTATAAGCACTTTCAAAGAAAATAGTAAGAAATTAAGGTTGGTACTGGACCAAGAAAATATGTGTCTTAATTTTATCTTTCTGCAGTCGTAGAACAGTCAGAGTGGGAAATGTTAGGTCTGTTTCTCCCACTGTTCGATTGTTTTGTTGTCCTTGCTATTTTTAACAATCAAGCTTTTAATTATTGTGCTGTCATGGGAGGACAGCCTTCCCAGCAGTGGGACTTTCCTGCTGCGTGCACAGAGATTGTGAAGCATTTCAATTAGTGAGTCTCTGTTCATCATTCTTTCCCCAGAACTGCAATAATCCAGTCAATCCGTTCTTATCACTGTTCTCACTTTCTTGTTAGAAAGTTTTTTTCTTAACATCTAACCTGAATTTCTGTGGCCGCAGTCTTGCTTTTCTACCAGACATAGAGAACGGTTGTATTCTCTTTTGCTTTTAGTAGGCATTGACTATTTATGGTTAAGGTTTTGAATCAACAGTTACTGGATTTGGAGTAGAGATCTGGCATTCAGCAGACAGGTTGCTATTTTTGACAAATCTCATATGCCTCTTCTAGACTAAACAGCCCCAGTTCCAAAGTTTTCTTATACAGCCCGTCTGACAGGCCACCTCATTATCTTCTGTGCCGCTTTTTGGGTTTCTCTACCACTCCTGCAGAGTGGTGTAAGCACGGTACTACAGCTGCAACTTTACCAGTATGGAGAGATATATTGCTAAATACATGTAGTACAGATCCCACTGCTTTCTCTATCTCAGTATAAAGTTTGCCTAAATGATTCATGCTCTATCTCTATCGCTATCTTTTTAGTCACTCATTACAGATAAA